CTGGGAGGTCTGCATATCTTTCCAAGGCTCCCAGAGCATCTGTATGTCTAATTCTAGGTCAGATGTCAATTTATGCATAATTGCAAACATACTGTAAGATCTCTTAGATATATCCTGCCAACCATGGTGTCCAATCAAGCCTTCTTATGCTTGGGAACAATTTCCATCACTACAGCAAGCCTCCATGAGCAAATTCTCCCCCAGAAATTGAACAAACATATGTTTATATGTCGTAAAAACATAACATTGGATTTTACAATCTCTTCCCAATATGAATTGATCCTATATCAAAGAGATTACTGATCTAAATAAACACAAAGACTCAGTGTTCTGGGGAACAACTCATGTATTGAAGTAAGTACCTAAATAAACACAAAGACTAGGAAGTCTGATAAGCTAGGTACATTTGGTAGAAATTAAGTAAATATCTTGCCTCAGTGTTCTGGGGAACAACTGAGGTGATTACATCGCAACAGCTTGCTATATGTAGGTGAACAGAAGCATAATTTTTCTGATGATGGTATATTGGGTGCACGGGCCACCCTATCTTTCTTACTTTCCTTTTACAGCCTTTGTCAATGCTTGTCCTGTTATCCGCTATGTCCAACACTATATTCAATGAGAATAGTAGTTAGTATGTTAGCTCCACATGCTTTACATATGTTTTGGGTGGTAGTGCGGAAATTTACCATAAAAGGATAATACATTTTCTTATTTGGGAGACTCTTCTTTGATGTAATGATAGGGAGGCTCACAGTGAGGTTATGATAGCACAGAAGTTTACTGTAAATGGATGATTTATATCCATATTTAGGACATTCTTCTAGAATATTCTTTTGATGTATTGATGGGGAGGCCCACAATGAGGTTTGAAAGAGGCTCCCACAGAGGCTCTCAAAGAGTGTATGAGCATACAAATAGTACAAAAGAGGCTTTCAGGGAGTGCACAAGGAGTTTCAATATTTTAGAAATTATAGATTAAACCTCTGAAGAGGCTTTTGTCACTGATTTTGGCTATATGTCAAGTATAGTAATCCAATTGCTACTGGGGGGATGGTGGGTCTCTGAGACCTATTTCTCACGACATAAAAACTACATCTGAAAGACCCTGAGAGCCTCCTCAAAGTTCTGCCTAAGGTGGAAAAATGGTGGTATCAACAATACCAGCAGTCGAACTCGAGATATTGGTGTCACTGTGATGGTTGCTGTCGGTGGTGAGCTGGTCAAATACCTCAGGCTCAGTAGGCACTGGCGGGCGAGATAGAGGTGAGAAGAACGTGGCTGATTGAGGTCTTCGCGTCAGAAACCAGAAGGAAAAGACTTGGGTCTCCGTTGGAATCGCAGCAACAGGGTGGCAGAGACGTTGGACAATGAGAAAGAGACAACAACATCGTGACAGGCAATTTCATGTAAACAAGGATGGCGCATGAATCCTAGGCTTAGCAAAATACAGTGAGATACTAGTGCGTAGTTATTAAATACCATGCAAACTTCTTTGGATAGTTGCGTATGCCGTGACTATAGCCCTGGGTACGAGAGCCGCCTGTGTGCAAACGCCTAAATTTCCTTTCTAGGGACTAACACTGCAATACTAGTAGGGTCATCGCACATAATTCGAGGGGTTTAGAGTCTGCTATCCTAGTGCACATTCGATTCCCACTCTCAAGTCAGCAGCACTAAGTTGAAACACATCGCAAACATCCAAATCATCCACTGGCAATCAATAACATAACATACTATTCAGGTCGCAAGACCGCCAACAGGCAACAAATCCACTGACTACTCATACAACACAGCGCGAAGTAGGGACGAAGGGAAGCATATATCGTACTAGCACATTTAAAAACCCAAAAACCCAAAAACCCAAAAAACTTTGAAACCGCCAAGACGGCGGCGGCGACGCGTTCGCCTAGTAAAAGCGTTTGCCGTCACCACCGATGGCGACACTGTAGACAGGCTTCGAGTACGTGCCATCCTCATATCTACCCGGAGCTTTGATTTCCTGTATAGGGTGCGCCTTTCCAAGGATCGTATCACCCTTGGCAGCAGGATGGTGCCATCCTGCCAATGCTTTCTTGTTGGACCTCAAATTAGGATAGTCGGGTCCGATGACCAATGGATATTCAAGAGACTCGGGGCTACACTTTTGAGCTCTGTCAGTTGACGCCAAGGCGCTAAGGATCATTGTGTTAAAAGAAGCTCGTTGCTTTAGAAAATAAACCTAGATGACTTACGAAGCGCCTCCAAGGTCGATCCTAAGGACACCCTGAAGTGAGGTATTAGAATCTGCCGGGATACTTGTACCAGTGCCTTGCCACCAGTAGAAAGTGACGGTCATCGGGTATGGTCCCTGTACACCTGTAAATTTGACCCCAACAACCTAAAAAGACAAAATCAACGATGTAAGACGAGAGAGAATGAAATATTCACACCTGATTCGCATTGGTGATAGGAGTCTTTCCAATGTTTAAGTTCAGATTACCTGGGTGAACACAACATTTTAAGATAAAAGATACTAAAGCAGTTTGGGAAGCTCGTACCCGTGGCAGACATAGCAATAAATCCCCCAACAGGCATGTTTGTACAAGCAAACTCTAGATGCCACCTAGTGGTCGTAGGGAATTCAGCTACCATCAAGGATACCAGTCAAGGTGAGAATACGGATATAACCTTGAATCAACAGATTTACAAACCAGGAACAGTTATATTAACCTGCCAATCCTGAGTCGCCGCATCCGGATTGTTCACAAACGCATTGTTCCTGTTTGCAACTGTCGGCGTATTCAAAATCCAGCTCACGATATCTGATCCGGTCGAAAGGGCGACTTGATGCGGCCAAAGCGGTTTGTCATCAGGATCGGCAGCCCAAAGCCTCGCTTCGCCTATGAGGCAGTAGTGATCAGAGCCAAGAGTCTTGGGATCAACAGGATTGAAAAAGTTGAAAGGATTATCAACAGCACAAGGACCAGGTTTTGTAAGGACCAAGTCGCGGATGGCGGCAACTTTATTGCCATTCACATCCACTTCAGAGATCACATGTTGTCCATAATTTGCCGGATAGATGAGGAGATTATTAGGGATTGCATACAGTGATAGTTCGACGTGGGTGGGCTAGTGAAAGGGAGATCAGCAACTGGAATTTGGAAGTTTAGTCAAAACAAGTACAATGGTCGTGTTTCCCCTCAAATAGATATAGTTGGCGGACTGGGATACAAAAGATGACTTGGTACCACGGTTGGTAGAAATATCGATGTCGTAGTTTTGAGGAGAAAAATCAATATCGTAGTCCCCATCAGGTGTGGTGCCGTATGGCTGTACGTCTGCAAAAAAGTAAGTTTCGGTATACTCACAAACGATCACTTGAAAAGAAAAGTTTACTCACCTGGAGATATCCAAAGGGGACCAGTTCGAGGGATAACGTTCGTATCGCCAACTGAAAAGATGGGAATTCAGGTTTCCGTTTGGAGGAGTATAAAGTTATACATACTATCGGCACGGAAGTAGAACCCTTCTACGGTACTTCCAGCCTGTTTGGTTTTGACGAGACTCCTCGCCAGTCGGATGGATTCGTCAAAGAGCAGATGTTCAGCTCCAAGGACTGTAGCAACCTCAATTTTGCCAAGCTTCTGGATAACATTGGCCACGAGAGAAACAGAAGCGTAATTGGGGAGTACAACAGTTGGATCCGTCTTCACAATTTGAATGGTGATAAGGCTGTCGTATTCGCCTGTGATGCTTAAACTAGTCCCGACTCGTTGCCCATTGATGATGGGTGTGCTGGACATGGTCAACCTGGAATCTGAAGAATACATGGATGCTTCCAAGCCGTTAGGAATACCAATCGACTAGAAATAATTGGTGAGGACTCGGATCTCGTGTATTTAACGGCATTTGCAGATAACCGACCTCAATATCGAGCTCAAGCCTGACCGGAACACCAGAATCGTCGAAGAAACGAAGGCGGGTAGACCACTGTAATGGCACTGCAATGTCAGTGACTATAATAGGGATTTAAAGGTGAACACATACACTATAAACATCGAAGACAGGATCGGCAATTCTAGCATTCAGGAAGGCGAATGTGGTCGGGCTACCAACTGAGGAAAGAAGCTGTTTGGGATTCTTCGCATCCGGGAGTTTGGTGAATGAGTTGTCTCCACTGTAGACAAGGAGAGCATCATGACGAGCCCCCCTGTTCTCCGGTTTGAAAACATCATTCTTGAGGGAAGCCGTCACTACGAACAGTATGCCTTAAGTTTCAGTCAATTTAAAAGTTGATGAAATTTACCGCCAGGGAGGGCTAGGTCCCCGTCAGATACGGAGCCGGGAGAGTATTCCAATTTAATTGCTTTCTTGCCGACGTTCGTCGCATCCTTGAGGACTTGAGGCCAAAGGATGAGCTCGTTTGCAACTTTCAAAACGGTAAAACTGTTAGAGGCTGCTTTGGCAGTATTGGAGGCGCGGCCACGAAGATAAATGTAATTTTCTTCCTCCGGGACAACGGTCTGGGCTATAAAATCCGTGTATGTCTCCGTTAATCTGTCAAGTGATTTGATCTGAAAAACATGATCATCGTCAGAAATATGAATCCACGTTATAGCACTACATACCTTGGTCTGATAAAGAGGAAGGATGTCGGGAGACTAGTTCCAATACAATGTAAGCCACGAACACAACTTGGTACTTCGACAAAAGTGCATACAAAGGCAAATAGGTTGTTTCGGTCCTCTGGGTGTTCGGAATCATAGTTGAGAGAGCTATGAGAAATGTGCATCAAAGGAGATCAGCAAAAGCTGCAAAAATGTAGAAGGGATAGTGAAGAGCGTACTCTCGCAAGTAAATAAAGTTCTGAGAAGACATGTTGATATCTTAGTTCTTGGCGCAAGTGCTTTGGAGTAAGTACTGGTTCTGAAGGAAGATGGATGGAAACATGAGACTCTCGAGTTAGCTTTATACTGCGCCATGAAATCCGACATTCGCGTTTTCAAGTAAGCATAGCAGAGACAAAAACATACATGTTTATTGTATAATGGAACTTGTCATAGATGAAACAGGTCCAGGTCCCTTGTACTCACCTGACAGCCACCTCCATACCGCTCTCCCCACATTTCCTAGGGAGACTTTCTTTCGCGCTACAAACGTTGATGAGAGTTGAATGGACATTCAGATCCACAATAGTGGTATGGTAGTGGCGGTTGTCCACTCATCCGCCATGCTCGGCTTGACAGGGGCTAATTTACGGTATGTACCTGCAGGGGAGTACCCCCGTTATTCTCGGCTAGGCGTCTGTGAATACTTAGATTAGAGCCCGTGTCTTCGTTTTACTCACTATCGACTTTTTGTTACGTTGTTCACTGCTGCAAGGCCGTCGACACATGCGTTCTTCAAAGTGTCTACATAACTTGACGGATGGCGGAGACGAAGGAAGCATCCAGATACTGCTAACCCTGGTCTAAGTCATGACTGCCAGTATTGCAAAGTCTCCTAATCTGAGTGCCGCTGTTATCAACCTTGCATTAGTCCAAAGCTTTGAACGTATTTGCAACAATCCGCTCAATGTGGAGCGATTGTGGTTCTTACAGGCCTTATGACCACGGAATGAAGATGCAAATCATTTCAAGAATGTTTCATAGAAACCTATCGAAACCTTAAGAATACGTGAATGTTCCTTCTCATTTGTGCAAAGGTACGAACCAGCATAACTCGTGTCAAAATGAAGTACTATTACGAAGCATATCAACTCTAAATTACGCTCATGGAGAATGCTAACCTTGACCTGACGAAAACAACGGAGTAAACGCCACAAGGAACCGCCCGTCTAACTAGCGGCTTCGAATGTCCGCTGAGGATGGAAGTAGATTATCCTACATTCCTATTCAAGAATTTGCTAATGAGAGCCTTTCCACACACAGACGAGCGACGGCCGCGCCGTCAATAGGAATTTTTGTGCCTTGAAAACCTTCTGGATATGCCACCTTAGGGGTATCAGGACTTGTAAAGGTACTGTGTCAAAGAAGGCGGCTCAAAGATAATTCCATGACAGCAAGTTAATTTGAACATACTGGTCGTTCCAGAATCCGTAATGAGTCATGCCCAGCGCGCGGGAAGTATACTCGTAGTCATGAGCAAATCCCCCAGGAAAGAAAAACTCCATGACAGTAGTCCGTGGTGAAGGCTTCATCCAAACCAGGGAGGTCAATCCATTACCATGAACCCCCATCATTATCTAGGTTCATATCATGAGTTTCCGTAGTCAAGCGACAGAAGAGCCCTTCTGACTCACAGTTGTCCGCGCTGCAAGCTGTATCTGCTCGGTGCGAGATAGTTTATCCATACTAACGACGTTGACTTCGTAACCGTAAGTATCACGCAGCTTATATAGTTCTTGTACAAGACGATCGTGATCCTCAGGTATCAACATTCGTCTACCCCACTCTTGGCGAGATATATAAGTGATCACTGGCGTACGCGTCGTAGCGGGACCAGTGTCCCCACTAAGACCAGACAATTGAATGACGTTCTTCCGAACTGTGCTCCACCAGTGCACACTTCCTGCCAGTGCAGAAGGTTCTGAGGCAGTCCGTCCCGTACTCTGAAATAGAGATCCATGCATGGCAGCTGCTCTGTCGGAGAAAACAACACGATCAAAGACGTAGGCCACACCCATCTGAGCACGATCTTGCCAGTCGGAGTTAAACTCGAGCGCTATTGATGGGAAGACACTGCGGAGTACCCATTGATTCATTAACGCATAGTCTCTCCAGTGGTCTGCATCCGCATGTGAAAACACAATACGTCGCATGGCTGGGAGGGAGGTATTGCCCGTCGAAGGCACAGCGGGGTCTAGTGATGAATACGTGCGCCAAAACCCAAAAAACAACTCGGCGGACCAGTGGTAGTAATGAGTAATACTGGATAGCTATCAGTAATGTGTATTAAGTGTTGTGTCAGGACGTACAATTGTGGTGGATCATTGATAAGCCACTAAACCAGAACATGAGAATCCTCAAATAGAGAACGTAAAAACGCAAGCGTACAGAAACTCCGTCGATAATTTCAGCCTTGGTACCAAAAAGTGACCTTGCTTCTTTCGAGCTGATCACTCTAAGTTCCTTGTCCGTGGGAAGTCGACTGGCAATAGCAGCCGCACCGTTCGCTATTTTCACTGCAGTAGAAGTAATATGGGAACGGTCGGGGACGCTCGCTGGCTTATCTGTGACGATGTAGACGGTGCCATTGAAGACATACAAATTGTCGAATATTGTCCAACCTAGCTCACGATATAGACGCCAAAGTGTCAAAAATGAGCTTGACATGACTCTCATGATTTTCGTTGAATGAAGAACAGCGTACCTGGGACATGGGCCAGTACATCTGTCTGAGGAACAGCTCCTTCAGCCCATGACATTCGACTTCTCAAGAGTTCGGTTGTGAAATCTTCAGTGTTGCTTGCCGAAGATGAAGATTTATCGCCATAGCCGCCCAGAAAGGTGGAACGAGAACCACCAAGTGTAAAATTCAAGCTAGAAAATGATAGAAGAGCAACAAGTAGTATGATTAAGAGAAATGTTTCTCTGCGAGTTGGTCCTGAACCTGCATGCATGGCAACATAGACTGAGCTCTGGCCGCGCTCGTCCCAGTCTACAGTTGGCAAGTCCGTGCACTTTCTCACACTTTCATTCTTTCCACCATCACCAACGGGCCTCAGGCGCTACAAAATCTGGTGACAGCGACTATCAAAAGCGCTAAATTCTCAACGATATAAACCAGCAGACACCTCAGAAGAAAAGAGGAGAAATATAGCTGTCCAAACCTGATACAGTTCAGACATCCACGCCGGATCCCTACACCTGGTAAAGAAACGGCAAGACAAATGAACACATCGACTCAGGCGAGAGGGCTTTCCTGGAATCCGATCTTGACTTTTTCAATACCTATGCTCACATTCCGAAAGCGGTCTTCAAGGATGTTCAGCCCATCCTCATTGTTCAAGTAACGAATATATGTTCTTTAAACCTTGATTTTACGAACAAGAGGGGCTTCAGACCCTTGCATTACCTTGAATATCGTCATTGAACTCTCAGGTCTCGGTGGTCGTATCAAAGTCCCCGAAGTCCCCTCCCATCTTGAATTGCTAAAAAAATGATCATCGTAACACCCTGATGACTGCTCATCCCTGCAGCATGCGCATTTGTTTGACCTCGAGTATACCAAATGGATTGTTTCCCTATATCATCGATATGTCATCAGTTTTAGATGCGCCTGTGGTGTGCTGTCAGGTTGACTTGTATGCGTCTTTTTACACTCTGAAAGTGATCGATATCGTTTATTACTCATGTGTTGTAGTCACATCGGCATATTCTGTATATACGAAGGTCTCAGCTAAGACTGCGAGGTGTTTTGTTTTGGGCATGTATGCATGCAGCTCTGAAATAGACTGAACAGGCTTCTGCTGTCATACTGCTACATACCAGTTTAGGCAGACTCGGAAGCTCTCCCGGAAGTTGCGAACAAGAATTCACGCCGACGGTGGTCACCGTTTATGTTTCCAACCATTTGGTATTGCTCACAGCGACGAGCAAGTCTCGCGCCACAACAACGCTTACCATTAAATATTGTATGTAAAGGTACGTGCCAGACATCCCACCTTTGCAAACTCATATACGAGACATGTCAATGCTGAAGCGCATACAGTGACGTAGTGACATGGTTCTGGCCAAAAGATCAAAGACTTGGGCTAGCAATGATGAATATCCCCAAACGAAGCCTAGTGAGGCCCGTGGTGGTGAGGTGTATGCGATCACTAAATTAGAGGAAGTCAAGGAGAAGCTAGAACAGAATTTAAATGAACCAAGTGCACATAGACAGGTGAGTAACGCGCTCGCATTCCGAGTTTTTACCAACATTCCATCGCGATATGTTATGTGTATAACGAGTGAACACTTTGCTAGAAACCCTCTCGGCGCTTTTATGTCAGAGCCAGGTTTTGGTTTCCACTGGGCATTCTCAGTATGTGTCGTACATCTCCCTGGTGTTGTCGTTCTTATTGCATCTGCAGTCGGCGTGATTTTGGGCTTTGTTCTCATCCAACCTGCCGATATTCACGACATGCACGCCCAATTACTACTTTATATGGACGAATACGACATCTCACTTACACTCCCGGATATAGACTTGTCGCGTGTGGAGACAGAATGGCAGCGTCTGCGAAGTAATATACCGGAACTGTGGAAGCTTAATAATGACGGACGAGAGTTTAAAGTAGGGGAAGATATCAAAGCCAGAGGTCTGTCGGCGAACTATCCCATAGTCTTGGTGCCAGGCATTGTGTCCACAGTATGTTTTCATATACTTGCACATCGTGCTCAAATTCTCATTCTTCTTAGGGGTTGGAGTCTTGGTCAACAGCCCCAGAATACCGCACATTTTTTCGCGAGAAGGTGTGGGGTGGGTTCAACATGATTTCTCAAGTAACTTTCAACCGCGACAAATGGATATCTGCAATGATGCTCGATCCAATCACGGGGCTAGACCCCCCAAATGTTAAAGTAAGAGCAGCAGAGGGCATTGGTGCTGCAAGCAGTTTCATCCAGGGTTTTTGGATCTGGTGCGTTACAGTTTCCTCGCGACGCTTACTAATGCAGAAACTTGGGATTGTTTAGGTCCAAAATCGTAGAGAATCTTGCTGTTGTGAATTATGATACCAACAATCTACATTTGGCCCCTTACGACTGGCGATTATCATACTGGAACCTCGAAGAAAGAGATGGATATTTCTCAAGAATGAAATCGACAATTGAAGGACTGAAGTAAGTTTCCCAGTAAAGTTCGCATTTGGACCGAGGAAAAATCGGTTCCACTAGAACTGGATTATCAATATGGACTAATTTTGACCTATTTCAGGAAGCGTCAAAACAAGAAAGTCGTTATTGCTGCACATTCAATGGGAAGCACCGTACGTACTCCTTTAAAGGCTTTTTACTCGCACACTCTGAACATCTGGACGTATCTTAGGTAATGCTGGTATGAGCATATATATTCTGTCACCGCCAGTACTAATATAAATGACATGTCAAAATTAGTACTTGTACGTATGATCATCATCACGTTTTGATTTGCGCATTAACTCGCGTGTTACATAGTTTTAAATGGGTCGAATCCCCTTTGCATGGAGCAGGTGGCCCGAGCTGGGTTGAAGTCAGTGTATAACGCCTACGGATGCTATTTCCTATTGATCAGCTTTTAGGATCACGTTGAAGCATTCATAACCATAGCGGGTACACACTTAGTAAGATAATCTTTCTCTACGTGCTGAAACGATGACGGAGCTGAAATGAGTGTATTTCTATCAGGGTGTTGTGAGTTCTCCTATGTTGAAACATTGACGGGTTTAGATCCTTCCGTTGATGCAACGTGACAGGCGAAAGCTATGGCTGCATTCCTATCAGGTGAGATGAAGGACACCGTGCAGATGAACCCTGCTGGTGCATATGGTACGCACTATTCCTATCGGTTGTTATGAAAAGTATTAAAATATAATTACCAGTTCTCGAAAAATTCTTTTCTAGAAAAGAACGTCAGAAACTGTTCCGTAGCTGGGCAGGCAGTGCTAGTCTATGGATAAAGGCGAGTCCCATTTCTAGCGGCATTGTTTCTATGGAAAACCAGTGCTCACACGGTGACGATTGAACCTATAGGGGGGAAGAGAGGTGTGGGGAAATCAGACCTGGGCCCCGGACGATGAGCCAAATTCAACCCACACTCATGGTGAACTTATCGCCTTTCGTCAGGCTCTGCTAGATATGGATGCGTTTGCTCAAGATTCTAAGAACATGACCGCAGATGAGGCGGGGACGTGGATCATGGAACGCACACCTTCCAGTTTCCAGGTTTGCACTCATTGAGCTTGTGAACTAATGTATTGACTCATGGCCATTCAAGAAAATGCTTGGAACTAATTACTCATTTGACATTGAACGAGATGAAGAAGTATTAAAACGTAATGATATTGATCACACGAAATGGACAAACCCCCTGGAAATCAGGTTCGTCTCGATCCGAAGCCCTTGTGTTAGCTAAGAGCTTTCACAGGTTACCCAATGCACCTTCCATGAAATTCTACTGCGTTTATGGCCATGGAAAGGAGACCGAGGTCAGTCGGTTTCTTCCTTTGTAAATTTTCTTAATGCCGCTATAACAGCTGTCGTCCTTCCCAGAGATCATATTGGTAAGGATGGTAATACGTCGGGACCGTTGACAGCTATCTTGATCTGGATGCTTAGGTATGCCCATGGACCCCACGAACAGGACGAAAACTTCGCAGAAGCAGAGTACCCCATGTGCACAGATCCTTCCAACGACAGCTGTAGTACGCCGCAAACGCCCCTTGATATTCCATTGGCACGGAATAGTTGGATAGATGCAGAGTATACAGATGAGAATGCCATTCCAAAGGTAGTGTGGCCCGAATCATGGCGATCACCCCTAGTTCATCTCATATAATTGTTCTAAGGTCCGTAATGGGGTGAATATGGGCGAAGGAGATGGAACAGTCAGTTTACTGAGTCTGGGTGCCATGTGTGTGGAAGGTTGGAAAAGGCCCAGGTGGAATCCTGCCGGAATCAAGATCACTACTGTTGAGGTGAGCTTTCCAGGTCCCACCGATCAGAATTATTTATCTATCACGCTCTTTTGACAGCTGCCTCATCGTCCCGTGTCAAATATCCCACGTGGAGGAGCTAATACCAGCGATCACGTCGACATTCTTGGCTCCACCGGATTGAACGAGATCATCCTGAAAGTTGCTACGGGAGTCGGGCACGAGATCGAAGACAACTATGTATCTCGCATTAGGGAATATGCCCAACGGATACAGTGGGATTAGCCTTTAGCCATTCCTTCTAATTCTTCAGATAGTATAACACGATAAAGATAGAGATACAACTCTTTTATGATCGCAAGACGAATGTCCTTACTTTCTAGCACGAGTCGGACGAGTAATGCGCACGACTGATACAATGGCTTGTATTTTTTTTATCATTCTTCGGCCCAGTTGGAGACTTAAACCTCGTATTACGTCTAATCCTGGACTCAAAGCAGTTTCGTTCCTCGATGCGGACATTTCGCAGAACTGACCTTCTGTGATAGCTTTTTAGAAACCCTAGGCTTCTTAGCACGATCGGCATCCTGACTTTGTTTACTTTCCCGTTAACCTACTAACTAAATGCCTTCTAGCAAGCAGGACATCGACCACAAAACATCGCACGAGAGTATTACCTTACCTGTGCACGTCGAGTATCATGTCCCTCTCTCCTCCCGTGGTGAGTCTAGTCTGCTAAGCGAATATACGTTGATCTAATCACATGTTAGCATATACATGTCCTCGTAGTGGGTGGAGGTCCCGCTGGTAGTTACGCTGCTTCTGTTCTTGCAAGGGAAGGTATAAGCGTGGCGATCATTGAAGCTGCGACGTTTCCAAGGTAACCTTTTTTTTTGCTACGTTGTGTTTGTGCTACATCACACTAATCTCTGTGTTGATGGTGGCAAGATATCATGTTGGGGAAAGCTTGATTCCTTCTGTCAGGCATTACCTGAGGTTCATTGACGCAGAGCAGAAATTAGTACAGTGTGGGTTCAAACACAAGGTGCGAACCAATATTGCTCCCAAAATCACACACCATTGTCATATGCGGCGTAGCCTGGGTCAGCAATCAAATTCAATCAGTTCAAACGAGAAGGCTGTAAGAACCTTCAACCCGTCTTCATCCGATACAATATGCATAAAGATATATCTCCCTGCAGATACGGATTTCGTGGCTTTGGGACATAGCAATAGTGCTTGGAATGTCGTAAGTGTGGGGAAATTTCAATGAATAAGGTAAATTCTCAACGTTGGGCCTACGCGCAGGTCCGCTCAGAGTTCGATCTTATGCTTCTGAACCATGCGAAAACTTGCAACGCACATGTTTTTGAGAACACACGGGTCAAGTCCCTCCGCTTTTCGACCTCAGGCTCGGAGCAAGCTAGGCCTATTGCTGCAGAATGGGTGCAAGTCTCTGCCAAGGGCGAAGTGGTCACCGGTGTGACATCGTTTGAATACTTGGTAGATGCAACTGGGCGTGCTGGGTTAATGTCGACAAAATATCTTATCAATAGACATTTCAACACTTCCCTCAAAAATATAGCCATTTGGGGTTATTGGAGTGGCGCCGGTACATATGGCATCGGAACATCAAGGGAAGGTTCTCCTTGGTTCGAAGCATTGACAGGTGGGTGTCTGTTACAGATGAGTTGTAGCGTATTGTTCATCTTTCCTTCGAAGATGAATCAGGTTGGGGATGGTTTATACCATTACACGATGGTACGACATCAGTAGGCATTGTGATGAATCAGCAAAATTATAACGACCAATCGAAAACGCTGTTCGGAACTTCACTGGAAAGCCGATATCGTTCTTTCCTTCCTCTGGCTCCAAATCTATACAAGCTCATTGGGGATGGCGTGCTGTCTTCGAAACTGAGCGTGGGTAGCCGTTCTGGTGAAATGGACCCCATTGTGCGATCTGCATCAGATTTTAGTTATTCGGCTCGGGAATACGCAGGTGTTGGTTTTCGCATCGCCGGAGACGCAGGCGGTGAGTCTACGATAACAAGGAACTGCGTTGATTTTGTAGCGCTTATTCGGGCTGATTGTTCACCCCTAGCTTTCATCGACCCTTTCTTTTCATCTGGTGTCCATCTGGCGCTTACTTCAGCGCTTTCGGCTGCCGCGACGATATGCGCAGCCTTGCGCGGTGACTGTGCAGAAGCTGAAGCAGCAGCATGGCACACGAAAAGGTTCTCGATGAGCTATACGAGGTTAGCACAGCTATCATGCTTATTGTACTTGGATCAATACCGTATATCACATGCAAGGTTCCAGGTTGTTGTATTAAGTGCATACAAACAAATTCGAGCACAAAGTACAAGCGTCTTGAATGATGTCGGGGAAGATGGTTATGATCGCGCGTTTGCGGCTATCCGACCAGGTTCGTGGAATGCATATTTTTACATTCAGCGAAAGCTGCACGTGCTCATCAAGGAGGGCAGTTATCCAGGGTGCATCTGATATGGGTACCCGGCTTTCCGAAGAGGAGTTACAACGGTCGCTCGATTTCTGCGTGAAACTTTTCAGCCCGACGTCTCCTGAACAGCGTGCATTGGCCATCCAGCGTGGTCTGCCACGCGAGTTTCTAGATGTGACAGCTCCGATTATAGATCCTATTATACTGGAGGCTATCCTGGCTATCAATACCGGGGATAGCAATCACAATGGTGTCGAACAGCAAAAGGAAAATAATGCGTCCGAGACGAGTTTAGCTGCGAATCAGGTGAATGCACGGCGAGTTGTACATTGCGAGTATGCCATCAATAATATGGAAGAAGAGGTAATAGATGGTTTCGTTGTCAGATTACAAATTGGGAAGTTGGGATTGAGGAGAGGTTGAGAGGTGTGGCACTACGTACACATTCCAGGTATAATAATTAATATTTCATTATTATTCGGGTTGTAATAACGATCGACAAAATGCTGTGTGTGCAAAATACAGTAGGCAGGAGACATGGTTCATCAAGTGATTCACGTCAAGCTAAGTGCGTAGTAAGGTCTGTGTCTGGACTCGACAAGACTCATTGACGGTTTATCTTGATCCATGGCAAGGGCTCAGATGGTCTCATCTGAGGACATCACAATCTCAAGCATGCCGCTGCCGTATCTCCACGGGTTCAAAGATTTCAAGGAAATGAAGAATGGGGAAAGAGGAACGACGTTTCTTCCGATACTGGTTATAGGACACAAGGGAATGTCGCTAAGATATTTCTGTTCTGATGAGGCCCGGAATGGTCCGTCGGTATAATATTTACCTTATGCTTCTCGCTCTTCTGTGCTTCGACTTCGCCTTCTAAACGCCTTAGTCTCCCAACACGTGATAAATGTTTATCGGGCTTTGTCTGTAGACGTCTTAGACTAGAAAGACTGGGTCAGCTGTTGTCCTCTTGCAGTCATGGTACAGGGAAACCACTGCCACACTTATTACCTGCATCACAGAAGTACAGGAAGACTTGATGCTATGTTTGACTTGGGCTTTATCGTATCAGATTCTATACATTCATTCATCACTCCTGTCCACAGGCAATGTATTACAATGTTTTCCTATCCTGGTGCTCTCGGTCCTTTCTTTACGACAATCTCTCGGCCTACCCCAGACGTATAGACGAAGAGTTGCACGACCTGTGGGAGCGTCATCTGCCGTTACGTTTCGTAGGCGGTCGTGAAGAATACCAAGATAATCAACTTGTACTTGTGCTCGCTCCACAGGCATATGGACCGTGTTCAACCTCTGCTTGGGATTCTGGAACGTAACACACAGGTACTCGGGCATCACTGCCACTTGCAGTACAGACTGCATCACTTCTAAAGGCAACCGTTGTGTGCTGCTTGTCCAGAGAACATACTGCAATGACACGAGCATGCGTTGCAACGCCTTTAGGGTGGTTGCTCGACGACTTTGATGAATTCAAAGTTAGCCTATTTTTGACATATCGCTTCAATCTAATAACAGCCTGGGCTTGGTATCTTATTCGCTTCTCCGTTTACACGTGCACTCATGAGATCTTCTAGGCTATTTTTGAACACAGCGAACCTGCACTTACTCGATTGCCCATTTCGCTCTTCTTTGCTGATATGACGATACGGTCGACGTCTTTTTGCCTCATATTAGCTGCTACTGGCACAGGCTGGCGATTGGCCGTTCAAAGTCCAAAGCGATACGGCTACCATGTGGGTGGTTGGTAGTGAGTATTGTGCTAGCTGCTTCTCAAACATACACGATGTCGATCGTTTCTCAGCTCATATCGAAGTGGAGCGCATCCAGCTGTCAAGCTGTCTATGCTAGTTATCATGACTTCGGCAGCCCTTCACGTGGCTGGCGACTGCATAGTAGTCTGATCAATTGCTGTGGTGTCAATCAGTGCAAATTGGGCTGTATCAGCTTATATCGACTACCGCTACCACACTCTTGGGTAAATCTCATTCAGCATTGTTGTCGTGCTTTTCGTAGTCACCTCGGGATCACATTTTTCGTAGTATCTTTGTTGCAACCCCCATCTGCTACCGGCCATCATGAGGGATTTCCACGACTCTAGGATCCGGATCCTGCGACAAGATTCCCATTCCCGCCTGCTTCTCGAAAGCATGATACATACTACGTAATTTTGGATTGGATCCCAAGATCGCAACCTCAAGTCGTAGACTCGATCTCCACCTTTTCGCACCGCACATCAATTTGGTCACAGGCGAACACTTGTGTATCTATCTCTTCCTGTATCTCAGGAAGTTAGTACGATCATATGCTCGTACCGGGATACCGCATGGTGCGCACATAGTCCTAAAAGGTATATAAACTCGTCGGGATGGCAGTCACAGTTTCTTCACTCCCTCCAGTGTGCGCCGTGTTATCACATCCCTGTCAATTCCTTGTCACGATGTTCCCTTCCTCCGCCTTGTTGTCTTTGCTCCTCGTGGCTTTGTCCGCCGTCTCCGCCACCCCCGTCAAGAGGGAGGCCAAGGCTGCCACTCTTGCCTTCACCGCCAAGGTTAACGCTTCTGGTTATGCCAACATTGCTGAGGCCGACAGGGCCCGTGCACAATCTCTGCGTCAGGGTGCTACTAAGGGCAAACGTGCTGCCAGCATCAGTGCTGCCAACACGGCTGTGACCTACACGGCTTCCGTTGGCGTTGGTAGCCCTGCTACCCAATGTGAGTGTTCTTATTTAAGAGCTCGGCTGATTTGATTGTCCTAATCTCAATTTGCAGACACCCTCCTCATTGACACTGGTAGCTCTAACACCTGGGTCGGTGCTTCTGCCAAGTACACCCCCACCAGCTCCAGCAAGGACACCGGTAACACTGTCGTGAGTATTCACCACACTGGTTTTGCACCTTTTCTGTTAATTTCTGACGTGCTTTCCTAATTAGTCTGTCTCTTACGGCTCTGGAAGCTTCTCCGGAGAGGAATACACCGACACCGTCACGCTCTCTTCTGACCTCGTTATCAAGGGCCAGTCGATCGGTGTCGCTTCCACCTCCACTGGCTTCAGCGGTGTTGATGGTATTCTCGGTGTTGGCCCCGTCGACTTGACCTCTGGCACTGTCAGCAACACCAACACTGTGCCCACTGTCACCGACAACCTCTTCAGCGCTGGAACCATCACCGACGACGTCCTCGGTATCTTCTACGTTCCCGCTGCTGCTTCCGACAGCACTGGTGAGTTGACCTTCGGTGGAACTGACTCGTCCAAGTACACCGGATCGATCGGCTACGTTCCCCTCACCTCCACATCGCCCGCCAGCGAGTACTGGGGTATTGACCAGTCCATCACCTACGGCAGCACCAGCATCTTGAGCTCCACTGCTGGTATCGTCGACACTGGAACCACCCTTATCCTCATTGCCTCTGGTAAGCGTTTCGCGGTTTTGTGTTTATCGATTATTAATCTTGCGATTTTCAGATGCATTCTCCAAATACGAGTCTGCTACTGGTGGTAGCATGGACCAGACCACTGGTCTCCTCAAGATCAGCTCTGCCCAGTACAGCGCTCTCTCGCCCTTGAACTTCAAGATTGGTGGTACCACCTACGCTCTGTCTGCCAACGCCCAGATCTGGCCTCGTTCGTTGAACACCGCCCTTGGAGGTGACGCCAACAGCATCTACCTCGTTGTCTCCGACATTGGAACTGAATCCGGCTCCGGCCTTGACTTCATCAACGGTTACACTTTCCTGTACGTGACGAACCCTTTTTTTAGACCAGTCTTGAGCTTGATTCTGACATTTTTATGTGATCTACAGTGAGCGTTTCTACTCTGTCTTCGACACTGGCAACTCTCAGCTCGGTTTCGCCACCACCTCGCACACTGACGACACCAGCAACTGAGCGGTATAATTTCCGTCCCATTGCATTGTAACGACACTTGTTTTGATACCACGAGGCATATACAATTATTTATAGATGGTTGTCTTATGAGTTTCGTACTGTAGAGGGGTGTCAAAAATACGGACATATTTGTGGATACAAAAATGTTGTAGTTACGCTGTTGTACACTCGATATCATCATATTTCCGCCATTCATGCATGGATTTATCTGGGATTCTGTTCATCGTGTGAATGTCTGATTGTTGCAAGGCTGAGAATGTTCATCTCCAGACTTTTTCGAAAGAAGTTGAGCACGCTATGTGTTGTCACCGCGATGAACTCCTTTCGGTTGCTCGCTCGGTGTGCCAATGTACACACAAGCTTGGCACTTTTTATAACGTTCCTAAAGATCTTTAGCTGGTGGGAGATAGAGCGATGAGATAGCATCATACCGACGAACCAATTGCAAGTAGATATATGATTGTTATCCAAAGACTCTGGGACCGACCTCATTCGAGCAGTTTTTGTATAGCGATTACTGTAGCGTTACGAAGCTAGGTTCATCACACGTCCACCAGCGAACTGAACCTATGATAGTATGCCGCATCGAAGATGTTGTGTGACATAGGGTATAAATCAAAACAAATTGTCATTTCTACTGTTTTACTTACAGCTAAATTCATATCGAGAGCACACGTACAGGGAGACTAAACGGAGCGTGAATCATTTGACAGTGCCGGCACCGGCATGTGAGTCTGTCAGAGTCTAATCACATCGGTTTAGCCTTTTTTTCTAAGATCCAGTCTGATTTTTTCAACTCAATTCTCAATTTAACTCAATGGAAAGGTCAGGAAATGCTGCATAATCTGATCAACTGATATTCAGTGGAACTATATTCAAACCCAATAACGATTCTGAAAGGCCTGGAAGGCGGCAGGAGGCATGTAAAAGCTGAGTTTGACCTTGTCACAATCCAACTGGCACGAACCTAGCTCTATAGTATTGCTTTGCGTATGAGAGATCCAGTCATTTATCCCAGGTCCAACCTCTTTTACTCACTGTCTTTAGAGTCGGGCTGGAGTGACTGATGGGAGGTTGTTGCTGTAGCGCGTCGATTTTGAGGATGATCCTATGACCAGGCATGATAGATACGTACACATGCACATATCTTCGTCGGAAGAATTCTCCTATGATAGAGGTGTCACTGACAACGACGCATCTTACGAGCGGTCATCGGCTCTTTGCGGTGTACTGATCGTTTACGGCACCCTACATAAGTACTACAGCTTGTTCGCTCAAGTCATCGTTGTTTACTCGGATGCCTTTGTTTAGGTCGGTTCAGTCAAACCTGCGTACTGTGAGTCACCAGAAGCTTAATATCCCTGTTTTCCAACGAGTCTGGCACCCACTTGCGGGACAACCCCAATTCGAGTCTTAACTTAAACGAAATTGAAAAGTGGATTATTCCTTTACAGTGATTTGATTCCCGCACTCTTGCCAAGTCATTTCAAAGCCACCTGCATGAGCCTGCATGCCAAACGAACACGCTAACATGTTACATTGAGGCCGACCGCAGTACTAATGCGGCGTCCGAACTAGTACTGCTGCAGTACAAGTCCATACACGTGCCCCATTCATATACTGTACATAAAAGCTCGGATGGCCATTTACCAAAGGTCCCTCTCATTCTTGAACTAGTCGTCTCCCAAGTGCTTCGAAGTATACCTGCCATGATGTTCCCTTCCTCCGCTTTGCTGTCTTTACTCCTCGTGGCCGTCTCTATCGTCTCCGCCACTCCCGTCCGAAGAGAGCCCGCCACTCTTTCTTTCGTCGCCAAGGTCAACGCTTCTGGGACCTCCAACCTTGCTGAGATCGACCGAGCCCGTGCACAATCTCTTCTCCAGAGTGTCACCAAGGGCAAGCGCGATGGCACTGTCAGTGCTACCACCGATGGTGTGAGCTACACGGCTTCTATCGGTGTTGGTACCCCGCCTACGCAATGTACGTTTGCTCCTTCGGGAACTTAATCTGATCTTGTTGTGCCAATCACGATCTGCAGACACGCTCCTTATTGATACTGGTAGTTCGAACACCTGGGTTGGTGCCGCAGCTAAGTATACCCCCACCAGCTCTAGCAAGGACACTGGTAACACTGTCGTGAGTGTTGACCAGTCTCGCGTTTTTCCTTCTGCTTTCTGACGCGTCATATCCTTAGTCCGTCTCGTATGGCTCTGGAAGCTTCTCGGGTAAGGAATACATCGACACTGTCACGCTTTCTTCCAGCCTCGTTATCAAAAGCCAGTCGATTGGTGTTGCCACCAACGCTACCGGCTTCAGCGGTGTTGATGGTATTCTCGGTGTCGGTCCCGTCGACTTGACCTCTGGCACTGTCAGCAACACCGACACTGTGCCCACCGTCACCGACAACCTCTTCAGCGCTGGAACCATCACCAGCGACGTCCTTGGTATCTTCTTCTCCCCCGCTGCTGCTTCCGACAGCACTGGTGAGTTGACCTTTGGTGGCACCGATTCGTCCAAGTACACCGGCTCTATCAACTACATTCCTATCACTTCTACGTCGCCCGCCAGCGAGTACTGGGGTATTGACCAGTCCATCACCTACGGCAGTACCAGCATCTTGAGCTCGACTTCTGGTATTGTCGACACTGGAACCACTCTCACTCTCATTGCCTCTGGTGGGTTTTTCGCCTTTTGATGTCGGTAGCTGGTGAAGGTTTAAATATCTGACTTTCAGATGCATTCTCCACCTACCAGACTGCTACGGGCGGTGTTATGGATAATGCCACTGGTCTTCTCAAGATTACCTCTGCCCAGTACAGCGCTCTGAAGCCCCTGGACTTCAACATTGGTGGTAACACCTACACTCTGTCTCCCAACGCGCAGATCTGGCCTCGTTCGTTGAACAGCGACATTGGTGGTGACAGCAGCAGCATTTACCTCATTGTCTCTAACTTGGGTACGAAATCTGGCGGTGGCCTTGACTTCATCAACGGTTACACATTCCTGTAAGAGTCATTTCATTCTTTGATGATTTCTGATTGATCTGAGGCGGGGTTTCGTGATGATCTACAGGCAGCGCTTCTACTCTGTCTTCGACACTGGCAACTCCCGTGTTGGCCTCGCTACCACGTCGCATACTAACGATAGCAGCAACTAATGAGTCAATATATTCCTACCTTCATTACAATGACATTTGTTTATGTGCTGTCACTATATTTCGCTATTGTGAGTGGTGTGGACTGTTTGAACATTGACGATGATACTGTTGTAAGAGTGAAGCAGTACAGTGACTGATGGTAGGTTGTGAGCGCCGGGAAGGTGGATCAGAAAGACATTTCCTCGTGCCGACGTGTACAGGGATGATGAGGATACAGCCACTGTTGGCTGTACATTGTGGTAGTGGTATTGAGGGTCGCATGGTGCCGGGCCGCGTTGGAAAGGAGAGTGAGCGGTGTGGCTGTGGCCCAAGTATAGGCCATCGATTAGATGTTCCACTTGCATGAGCGCCCAACTCAAGATCACCTGAGGGCGCAGGGCTTCTCTCTCTTGCTTGCGACAAGCACCGCCCACAGCTTGCGCTATAACCACCATCCCACCATCCTTCCTTCCTCTCCCCCATCTCCCCCCTCATCGCCAGCATATCTTGCTCGCCGTCACCCCCAGCATGCAGAGACACACGTTCACCGCCCTCAACTCGACCTTCATCGTCGACTCCGAGTACCAGTACGTCAAGGAGCTCGGCCAGGGTGCATATGGCTGCGTCGTCGCTGCCAGGCATCGCAGATCAGGAGAGGGTTGTGCCATTAAGAAGATCACCAATATCAACACAAAGGTCGGTTATCTCTCTATCTGCTGGCGCGGCGTCTAGGGTCTGACTGCGCTTGACAGCGTATACTGACGAAGCGGTGCCTTCGAGAAATCAGGTTCGTTCGATCTTCGTGCTCGAATACTATAACCATCTCATGCATGTCCTCGGTCATACAGGCTGCTCCATCACTTTAGAGGACACAAGAACGTAGGATCGAATGGATGTCTCATTCTGCCACCCTCTCGAGCTGACTATCTCCCAGATCACATGTTTGTATGATATGGATATCGTTTTCCAACCTAATGGAAACTTTGACGAAGTCTATCTTTATGTGAGCTAAATCTCTTACCACTAGCTTTCATATCTTAACGCGTTTTCATTTACAGGAAGAACTTATGGAGGCCGATCTCCACGCGATCGTGAGTCTTAGCCCGATTCCCTGCATCGCGACTCTAACGCCTTACCCCCTGTTCCTTAGATTCGCTCTGGCCAACCTCTCACCGACGCGCACTTCCAGTCCTTCCTGTACCAAACCCTTTGTGGATTGAAGTACATCCACTCAGCAAACGTACTCCACCGTGACTTGAAACCTGGAAACCTGCTCGTCAATGCAGACTGCGAGCTCAAAATCTGTGATTTTGGTCTGGCGAGAGGATACACCCCTGGAGGAGGTGCATCCAAGTCGGCTGGCAACCAAGGGTTCATGACCGAATACGTTGCCACTAGGTGGTACAGAGCGCCTGAGATCATGTTGAGCTTTGCAAACTACGTACGTCCTGCCTTTTTCCATCGCAGTTGAATGGCGTGTGTCTGACATCGCGCTAGACTACTGCTATTGATGTCTGGTCTGTTGGCTGTATTCTGGCCGAGTTGTTAGGCGGAAAGCCTATCTATAAGGGGAGAGAGTGAGTAATACTTCAACTCAAATTTTGGAACCAGGTGTTCATATATTGTTTTTAAAACAGCTATGTGGACCAACTGAATCAGATCTTGCATTATCTTGGTACCCCGTCTGAGGATACCTTACGTCGTGTTGGTTCCCCTAGGGTATGTCAGACGTCTCCCCTGTCCAAAATATCACTCACATTTTGCGTTCAAAAAATTAGGCCCAAGACTACATACGCTCGCTCCCCATCAAGCCGCGCGTCCCATTCTCGACACTCTACCCGCATGCAAACCCTCTCGCCATCGATTTGCTCTCCCAAATGCTGTGCTTCGATCCCGCGAAGCGCATCAGCTGCGAGCAGGCGCTCAACCACCCATATTTGCAGGTGTGGCACGATCCTGCCGATGAACCTATTTGTGAATCTGTATGTCCTCCTCCTATTCTTTCTTGTTCTCGATCAATGAATCTGATGGCACGACGAATGTGATCAGAAATTCGACTTTTCGTTCGAGGAAGAAGATTCCATCGAAGGCATGAAGAAGCTGATCGTGCAAGAGGTCAACTCGTTCCGCGCCGAGGTTCGTGCGCAAGCCAGAGCTGCTGGACAGATTCGCAGGCAAGACAGGTGGGTCTTTTTTTTTTGCTTTGATTTGTGGAAACATTTTGGGAGGGATTTTGATGCAACACCCTTTCCCCCTGCTAGCCTGCCCATCCCGACTCGAGATGAGATTATCAATTCACCCGTGCAAGAGTACGGGCCCGTCCATGGTGCTACTTCGGGGTACACCGCCCCATCGCACCGTCCCCCGACTCCCATCATGGACGATCCCAGCGAAGAGCTCGAGCGGGAGTTGGCTGGTACACATTTGGGGAAGCGTTAAACCAAGTTAACTGACTGCTACTGGCTGAGCTATATGATTGTGGACTCGAAAATATAGAGATCAGATAGGGGGATTTTTAAAGTGTGAAAAAGAAAGAGGAAGAAGTGTGCTGTGAATTTACTGTATCGTAGAATCGTTCTTACAACCCGGGATCGATTATTGTCTGTAATCTCTTTTTGTTTTTGTTTTCTTTTTTTTTCTTCTGATGTGGATTAGAGATGTAAGTTGCTTCTGTGTGCTGAAATGGACAATTTTGGTTGGTTCTCTGCACTTCTTCGTTGTCACATGTCCTTGAAGCCTTGGGGTTTCATATATGCGACTGGGGATGATCGATTTTCAATGAACTTTACCGTCTATACGCGAACCATAAGAGTCAGTCGGTGTTCCAGAGGGTCTTTTTTTCAGTCAGTCAGGGCTACTAAGATTACAAGGTATTCGAAACAGAAAAAAAGGGGGGAAGGGGGGGGGGAAGCGTTAGTATCCGTATAAAAGGGTTTGTTACAAGGGTATCTGTCTCGGGGTAAAAAGATGATAAGATGACGAAACTAGTATCATGATATATGTGTTTTCTTTAAAAATGCAAAACACATTAAAAAAACAAAAAACACAGGACACTGAAACTTCCGGAAAAACCGAATATCGAACATCGACACATCGAGCCTCACACGCGACGGATGGGAAGGGGAGGGAGAGGGAGAGCGATCGGTGAGGATCAGACAATCCTCGTCACGTCTTCGAGAGATGTCGTCATGGAGGTGACAAAACAGTTCATCAAGGGCACAAAGTCGCCTTCCCAAGCCTGGCAAGAAAGAAAATAAAATGGGGGTTGAACGCGGCGAGATGAGAACAGACGGGGAGGGAAGGGCGGGGATGACTTACGATGTTCATGCTATCGTAGTACCCTTGTCGGCCCGCGGGGTCGAGGCAGAGGGGCGGGAAGCGGTGGCGAAGTAGGGGGATTGAAGAGACCAGTCTCGACATCCGCCCATTGCCATCCTGTATCCCAAGCAAGAAAAAGAAAAAGAAAAGAAAAACCATGTTCAATTATATTGTTCACCACGCTTGATCACTCACGTCGAAGGGGTGACAGCGGACAAATGTGATCTGCAACCAAGCAGCGGTTGCAAACGGGTTCCGCCATCTCGCAATGTATTGCTAGTGAAGGCGTTCATTTTTTTCAATTCGGTTTTTGATGTTCGAGTAAAATGTTTGTTTCGAATGTCAGCACCAGACTTGTTTCAGCCGATTTAGCTGGAGGTTCTCTGCACTCACCCTGCCCATCTTGCAAATATAGTCTAGCTGCTGATCGACGCGCTCGGGAGGGCAGAACGCGAGGTTGTATTGACTGCTCCTGATCATAAGCGTCTTCTGCGTGACTTGACGCGAACAACCGGCGTTGATGTAGCGCAGGTGGGTGCTACCATCGCCAAACTTGACTTTGGAAGAACGCATCATCTTGCTGTGAATACTCTTGAGCATCTCGGTCGTCAACAGCTCGACGTTCTCTTGGATCTTCATGATGTCCAGGTAGGCCTGTAGGTAACAAGCAGGAAGGGAGGAGTTAGCAGTGAAAAAGGGCAATGAGAGAAGGTAAAAGTGGAATACGCACGTCACTTATGTCTTGCAGCATATCTGAAACGGCTTCTCTTTCCTGAATGACGCTTTCGGGGAGGCACTGGACTGCAGAAGGAGAAGGCCCGTCACGGACGATCTGCTCAGTGGACTGTATGTTCGATATACACATAAAAAAGTAGGATAAAAATAAAGTCAATAAAGGAGGCAGCAAGGAAAAAGCAAGAAGGGATGGGGATACATTCCTCGTGCGTGAGCTTGAAAGTCTGCTCGACATGGTTAGACTGGATCCAGCCATAGTTGAGGTAGTGTTGCTGATGGGACGAGGAGAGCCAAGCTGCCTGCAGCTCCTGTGCACCGGCGGGAAGCATGGGCCACGAAAAAGGGTTGGCATGCTCCCGAGCAGGCTTCCAGGTCTGGAAGAACGTCAGACTTCCGCTCTTGAGGGCTATAAAAGGAATTTTTTTAGACGTTTAAGGTCGCTTTTGGTAGTATGAAAGATGATTCGCGGGGCGAAAAAGCCTCACCTTGTTGCTGAGCATCGAGCTGTGCCTGTCTGCGAACGATGGTGACAAAGTCTTCGAAAGAGGACGAATATTTCGGATCGATGGAGTGTCGGACCTGACCCAGCGCCATCGCCGTCGTTATTTTGTGGATGAAAAAGCTGAGTGTCTGACTCACCTCGTCGTAGAGCTGGAGCGCAGTGCTGAGGGAGCCCCCAGTAGCACGGACGTCGGCGACTCTTACCTTGAAGAAGGGGCCAGGATATTTGGGCAGAAAGTAGTCTTCCCAAGACAAGGCAATCTGACGGACGTAACGTTGAATATCTGTTGGGACAGTTGCGATCTCGAGTACAGCCAAGCTCTCTTTGAGAGCCTGAGCATCTGCGGAGGACATTCCATTAGGCAAAGTCTTGATCGCATCGACGATGTATTGCGATATAGAGTGAGAAAACGTCAGCTCAGCGTTAACATCAGCGGTGAAATGCGGCCGCGCAACGAGAGCGCTAGCGCTGAGCCACTTTGAGTGAACTGAGAAGACTCACCACGAGCTGTGGTACGCCATTGTAGCTCCAGCGAGGGATTTGGACTGGAGCTAGCTGGGGGCAGTGATACGGAACCTGGAAATCCACATTCATCCTGGTGGGCTTGGGTTGCAGAATGCAAGGGGATGCGATGGCATTTGAGGTTCTGATACCAGACTGCTCTTTTTGCAACGGCGAATCGGCTTACATACTACGCTGTGGTGCTCTCAGTGGCGACGGCGGTCCGACATTGGCTGTCCCAACAAAAAGAAATGTATGTATCCTTGCACTGAGAATTGCATGCGATCTGCAATATAAAGCAGTCAGTTCAGCGTTAGTGGCAAAGATAGTGAGATGGTATTTATATGAGAGCAATTGCCCAAGAGATTGGTTTGTACGTATAGTCTAATCTTCTCCGGGCATCCTATCGACGATCTTTGATAAAGCCTCTTATAACCCATATGTGCTACATGTTCTCCCGGTCAGAATTCCAGCCGTTGACTACAACCGTTAACACGGGTGTTCCGCTCAAATCCAAATGAATACAAATCATTAGTACAATACATATCCGGTGCTCAACCGTCAACATTCCAGCTTTTAGATTTTTTCGCGGTAGCTTATGTTTTTCATGTTCCTTTGACTGCATTGATGAAAGCAACGACCTTCTCCATATCCTTGCCTTTCCCATCAGCAGTCTCAACCCCGCCGCTCACATCCACGGCCCATGGGTCCACCTTGAGTATAGCCTCCTTCACGTTCTCCGGAGTCAGGCCCCCAGCCAGCAGTATGGGCATGAAGGACTTGGGAACGTGAGAGCCGTCGCCGTTCACCTCTCCCTGACTCCCATTTACTTTTGGCTCATCTGCACTTGCAGCCGTCTCGGAGACGGCTGCCGCCACGGTGACCAACTCACCCGCCTTTACAACCCGTGCAGCAAGGTCCCAGTCCACCACCTTCCCGCTCCCACCACTCAGCCCATCGCTCGCCCGCTGCGAGTCAAGAAGCACAAACTCATGCAGACCGGGGCGCGTGATGTCCTCCAACCCAGACCCCTGCGGCCCGACGTGGAATGCGCGTATGACAGGGACGGGGATGTGTTTCGCCCATTCCAGCGGTTCGCTACCGTGCAGCTGCACCATGTCCAGCTGGGCGGAGGCCACTGCATCCAGAATGTCGGACAGGCTCTGGTTCTGGAACACCCCGACGAGGAGTGGCCGGCGAGGCTGATTGGCGAGACGATGGGCGTGGGTGGCGAACCAGGGCTCGTTGACGAGCTCGTCCCTCTGCGTGGCCGAGGCGGCTGATGAACGTGATCCGAGGGAATTGTGTATCGCGAGTGAGATTTCGCGCGCAATAGGAAGTGAGATGCGGCGTTTGCTGCTCGGGACGAACATGAGACCCAGGAGATCGGCGCCGGCGTCCGCAGCAGCGATAGCTTCCTCCTCCGTCCTTATGCCGCATATCTTCACCAGCGGTGCCTGTTTTTCCCTAGGTGATGGCAGAGGCCAGTCGAGAAGCTCGTGTATGAACGCTTTTGTGTCCGTGGCGCGCATTAACGCCTCGCCAACGAGAACGGCGGCGACGCCTTGCTCTGAGTATTGGCGCACGTCGCTGGGACTGGATATACCGCTCAGGGCACAGAGTATGACGTCTTTTTCGCGCACCATGTCGACGAGCCGACTCGTCGTGCCCATGTCAACTTGGAAATCGTGAAGATTGCGATTGTTCACTCCGATCACTTTTGCGCCCAGCTCGAGCGCGAGGGACATTTCGCGTGAGTTGTTGACTTCGACGAGGGGCTCCATGCCAAGCGAGAGCGAGTAGTCGTACAGGACGCGAAGCCTGTCGACGGGTATCATAGCGACGATGAGCAGAACAGTGTCCGCGCCATACAATCTGGCCTCTGCGATCTGATATTCGTCAAGGATGAAGTCTTTGCGGAGGATGGCGGGCCGGTTGGGGAGGTGGTCGATGGCTTGGCGGGCGAGACGCATGTCGAGAAGGCTGCCTTTGAACCAGGTGGGCTCGGTGAGCACGGAGATGACGGATGCGCCGGAGAGGGCGTAGGTGAGCGCTTGCTGCGCTGCGTTGGCATTGAGCGCGATGTTCCCCTTTGAAGGGCTTGCACGCTTGATTTCTGCCATCAACGCTGGCTTTTTGGCTTTGAGCCGGGCGACGAGAGGTGTGAGTGGGGGTGCGAGGTGCATGGAGAGAAGAATATCGAGATCGCCGGGTGTCGCGCCTGGAATCGACTTAGCGTGCTGCACATCTTTGATCCTTTGTGCATATATCTTTTCCAGTATCGTCGGCACCTTTGTTTTCGCCGCTGCCTCCTCAGCCTTGTTGCCCATGAGGATGTCGACGGGAAAGGGCGGGAGTGTCGTGTCGTGCACTCCAAAATCGGGGTTTTCACGCCAATATCCGCCTTTGAGGGCAAGGAAGTTGCGCATCAGATCGTCGCCTGCTTCGGAGAGGATGCTTTCGGGATGGTACTGCACAGCTTCGAGGGTGTAATCTCTGTGGCGGACGCCCATGATGACACCGCTCTCTTCGGTTGCTGAAGTGACCATGAGATGTTGGGGTAAGGTCTTTACGGATGCACTGAGGGAGTGGTAGCGCGTGGAGAGGAAGCCTTGTGGGAGGCCCTTGAGACAGCCTCGTCCGTCGTGTCGTATACGACTGAGCTTTCCATGCATGATTTCTCCCGCGTATCTGTTTCCATCACACCGCACCACCGCCCACAGCCAAAAATCCATCAGTTCTCAGAACACAGACCATACAAACGAGCCAAACTCACCCGATAGCACCTCCATACACATCGACGAGACACTCGAGGCCCATGCACACGCCCAGGACGGGCACTTTGCCTGTGAAGTAGCGGATAGCCTCGCGGGAGATGCCCGAGTCAGTCTGGGGGTGCCCTGGTCCTGGGGAGATGATGAGGGACTTGATCTGGAGCTGGTGAAGGGCGGTGGCGGGGATGGCGTCGTTGCGGATGACTGTGACGTTTGCGCCGAGGAGACATAAGGATTGGTAGAGATTCCAGGTGAATGAGTCAAAGTTATCGATCATGAGGACGTCTATGGGTTTGGACAGTGCGTCTGGGAGGACTATCGTGGGGGCTGCCATCGATGCCATTGTTGTCGCTGTTGGTACTGAAAACGATGATAATGTAGAGATTGGAAAGCAATGGATACGATGGTGGTGTAGAGAAACTTTATAGCAGTGAATGCACCGCTGGACTGCAGGCGAACTTGTTGGAATCAAGTCACTGTGCTAAAAAGCTGATGCATCCGAAACTGAGTCCGAACACTATCCGAACATAATTCATGATCGGATCGCGGCGTACGGCCAGTATTCGTCGCCTTATATGGAGAACAACACCGGCCATTAACCATCACGAACATACATACCTTTGTTATGTGGAGGGTATTGGAGACTCGTATGACGAGTTTCGCAAAGGGTGGTCTACATGGAAGTCAGAAGAAGAGAGATGCTAGAGACTTGCCATTGTGGCGTGCACTGGTATAGATTGCTCCCACCGATGAAACACTTTGTCCATCGCGATAGACGCTACAGGCAAAGGCACTGTAAACGGGTACTAACTAATACATGTTCTGCGTTGGTATGATCATCATTTTATAGTAACCGTAGACAGATAACACCTCATTCACATCAGTAGCTGACGCAGAAAAGGTGTCCCCTTAGCTATATACCAGGCGCTCCACTACAAAATGATGTGGGGCCAGCCCCTGGCTCGAGACATTTGCACCAAGGAAACACGTCTGACTGATCTGGTGAGCTCTGCATCAATTAACAAACGCGCGACGAACGCCAGTGTTGCACCATTGTCGCCTTCAATGACTTGGACAAACGTACATTGCAATAAGCAATATTATAACCGGCGGAGGCTGCTTGAGGATCAAATGCAGCGCAGCTAATTAACAGATATATAATGTAATTAACGTACGACAGCAATACCTCGGAGTACTGGTATTTACAGAGGTGACAGCTCGTAGTAGCAGTTTTTGATATCGTCCGGTCTTTTGATAAATGAAGGTTCCAGTTCAGTGTTTCCAAGTGTCTGCAGCGAAACGTGGGTTGAGCACACCCCTGAGCTGACATATTACAAATTGCACCATGGATACAGCAGACAAGCCCTAGCTGAACGTGTTCAGGAGACCGCGCACTCCTGTGTGTAAAAATATCAACCTTGAGCTCACTGACTTGAAGCTGTGATTAAGAAGGGGTGGAGAGGAGTAGTACGTAGTACCGCAGTCATCGTTCTTAAAAACACGTTCTGATGGGATGGCTGTACCACCCGTAGATAGCAGTTGACTTGACACCAGGTGACCTCTAAGTGATTCACCGTGTCTCTCGATATGGCTTCAGCTTTTCTGGGTTTCTGCTTGACGTCGCCGGTGAGCACGGCTAAAGTACAGGGGTGTGGTCTGCTTGGTACGACGGTATCCCACCAAGTTGCCTCGAGGCTAAGCAAGGTTTGGATAGCCTCGTGATGGTGGGGAATAGGAACACTTTTTAGTGCAAGACTGTGAGCTTGGGCGGCTTACCAGGAAGGACACGTATATTTTTCATGGAAAGTACGGGTCCGCAGTGTGTTCAAGAGGAAGGCGGGAAGTTCCAGAGAGACTAGTTCCATACACGGGCCGCCCGTGGCTGCATACCGGGACCCGTGTGGGGTTCGGCAAGCCTACGGTCACGACACAATCAATTTATTGATCAATAACTTGCCAGATTTCCCAAGAAAAACAGGGAGAAAATACGTCGACAGAGTTGTTCGCATTGTCCTGGTTGCCAACGATAATTTGTCTTCGACGCATTCTGCACGTTGTTTTCCTGGATAAAATGAGCGGTGACATGCGATGTACTGCCTGAAGAGATGTTGAGGGATACAGCCTCCATGTGAAAGGGTTGTGACGTGAGGCACTTCGATTTCGATTGATGATCACACTCGTGGGTAACATCCAGTGTGGATGGTGCTAGTACTGACGACAGGAGTTATACCGCAATATACTGGATATGCACTGGGAACACAGCAGAGACCATCTGGAGAGGATGCAAGGAAGGAATATATCGGGAAGGAGACCTTGTGGCCCGGCCGGAGAGAGCGGCGAGGTATGTCCTGATAAGGAGGTAGGGCGTGACTGTGTGACGGCAACGGGGTATCAGAGCCTTGTCTGACAGGTCTGGCCCTGGCCAGATAATATATATCGCTGCTGCAGTCGTCGTAAATCCCCCGACTGCGTCCATTTCGTGCTTCTTTGTCTTTCTTTCTATCCTTTTGTTTCCCTTCTTGTCTTTCCCTTTCGTTCTTTGGCTCCAAGAGGTTCTCTTTCGCATCCTCCGCCTGTCTTTGTATCTCGCCTTTTGTACTTTTTGCGTCCGGCACGCCATTACCATCCACACCAAACGTTATACGAACCACCATGGCCCTCTCTCTCAAAGCAGAACTCGAAATATGGGCGTCCGCACTCAAATCATACGATGCAGAGGACTTTGAGAATGCTCTCCAGCTCTTCTCCGTACGTACACACAACCCCATATCTTATATCGCTCCCATCTCACCTCACCCTAATTCATGATCGTACTTCTTGCAGGACATCGCAGACTCTTCTAAAATACTTACCAACATAGGCCTTATCTATGCTACCATAGGCGAACACGAAACCGCTGTACAACAGTTTAACGCAGCGACTGGCCTTGATCAATATCTCGCTGTTGCGTGAGTCCTACTCTCATATTTCACTTTAGACGCCCCCCTTCACGGTACCGCTATCCATCGTGCTTCCTATCGGACTCGTCATAGCCATGCCATGCTACCCTTCTCTCGGTTATGCTGGACATGACCTTTTGCCAGATTGTTTTATCCCTTGCAACCTCCCGAGATCTCTTGGAAACGCATTTACTCACGGTCCTATATTTTTGTGCACAGATATTTTCAATGCGGCGTTTCCAACTTCTTACTCGGTCGCTACGAACTTTCTCTAACAGACTTTGATGAGGCTTTACTTTACCTACGGGGCAATCAAGCAATGTACGTTGTTCCACCTCTCAAGCCGTGCTTGTCGGATGATATCGTCACACTCGGAGCTAATATTTGGATCTTGCCTTTTTCTTCCGATGCAGTAATTATGAACAAATCGGCCTCAAATTCAAACTATTCTCAGCGGAAGTGCTATTCAATAAGGGTCTTTCGCGTATTAATCTTGGCTTCATGCAAGAGGGGCTGGCAGACATGGAGGAGGCGAGACGGGAGAAGGCAACAGAGGAACATAACGTCATTGATGAAGCGATAAGGGACTTGGGGGAAGGCTATACGGTTTTTAGTATCGTGAGTGGACCTAGCATACCATCATGATCATGATCCGGTTTAATGCGTTCCCTTAATCGATACAGCCGGTCGGCGTCCTGTACCGCCCCTCTGAAAACAAACTCAAGAATTCAAAGGCAAAGGATTACATGGGCAAAGCTGTATGTCCCGCTTTTTCTAATTTCTAGTACCGTAGCTGTTGCAAGATATTGACTTGGTGTGGTTAGAAATTGGTCGCTGCAAGCGATGCGTCCGATGCGTTTACCACGTTTTCTGGAGTAACGCGATTGAAGCAGGGCGTCACCCCACAGAACACGTTCGTCGAATCGCGCCCTGACACCGATTCTTCGCCTGCTCTGAATCGCAGTGTCACTTTGCCTCCTCCTAGTAAGTCTCCCACCTGAAATATGCAAAACGACATCAAAGCCTTGTCTTGCTAACTGACCTTTCCATCACAGGAAGCGACCCCATCGACCCCCCGACGCGTCCCAACCTTGCACTCGAACGTTCGAAAACAACCATCAACATCGCGTCCGACGCGCGAGTACGCATCGCAGCTGGTGGTTCTAGGTCTCCTGTCTCCCCAAGCAGGCGGTCCAACTCTGTGTCGAACCCAGTCGTCGAAACACGCAACACTGGGCTGTCGAGAAATAACACATCGATCGCTAATTTGACTAGGAGCGCCACGTCCTCACCTCTGCGCCCTGCCGCTCCTTCTATCGCACCTTCGTCTGCCTCTACACCCACGGCTATGCCTTTAAGCCTAGTGGCAGGCATGTCTAGAGGGATGAGTGTCCGTAGAATTCCCCCTGCTGCCTCTGCCGTTACACCTCCCAAGTCTTCTGGTCTTCTCCTACCGGCTGGTCCCCCAGCTCAACAACAACGTGAGTAAAAAGCTTCGCTGATTTCGGCTTGTATACTAGATTGACTGACGACTTAAAAATTTTACTTATTATCATTATACAACAGAGGCGGGCCGTTTGACCGACTTTTATGACGACTACATCAGCTCGTACGGCGAAGACGCAAATTCTCGACCGTTGCCAGCGCCTCCTGCGGGTGGTACCACCGACCGCGTTACAGCGTGGGCTCAAGCCAACGCAAATGCGAACCCCAACACTGGCTATGGCCGCGCCCCTGCACCTGCACGCGCTCTGTCACGTAGCACCTCGAGCGCAGCACCTGGCTCCTACCAGGGCGGCAGTTTACGCAGGAAAGTGACGAGACGGCCGACACAGAGCCGCAGGCCTCCTGTTACATACGAGGAGGAAGAAGAAGAGGGCTATGTTAGCGGCGAGTATGAGGATACGCAGTTTGAGCTTACGAAGATCAAAGTGAAGGTGCGTCTTTTTTGCTTCCATTTTACCTAATTTAGTACGTCGTTGACGAACGTGGCTTTTTATTTTTACTTTTTATTAGTTGCATTACCAGGGCGACGTCCGTGGGATGACCTTCCCGCCTGATACCCCATTCGAAGAGTTTGTGGACCGTGTCACAAGCAAATTTGGGACGTCGTTGGAGGGACTTGGGATGAAATTCAAGGACGAAGACGGAGGGAAGATTACTCTACGAGACGACTCTGATTACGAGCTTGCGATCGAGACTGCGCGGGAGAACGCAAAGGGCAAGCCAGAGGGGAAGCTCGAAATCTGGTGTCTAGATGTCTAAATCTCTTGCCCGCCCGCTTATCTATCTATCTATCGTATGATTGTAGTTCTCTGGTTCTCATGGAATTTGCGGGGAGCTGCTCTTTTCTTTTCTTTAACGGGTCTTGTTCAATCATCGCTTGGGATTTTCTATCTATCCATTATTGTTGTTGTTGTTGTTGTTTCCAACTACCCTCCGCTGTTGCTCTTAGTTTGTGGATCCCATGTAGATTGTAATTCGTCATCGATGTTTTGTATATAGAGGATCGAGTGCATGTTTACAGTATAGATCTATGGCTCACCGTAGGTGTTGGCATGTTATTCTGCGATAAGGCTGCAGAACCTGGGTGGGATTGACTTTTGTTATCGCTACTATAGCTAGTCGTACATCCTTTAAATGCATAATATAGCTGTGGTTTTCTAGCGATTTTCTTTTGGATACAGTAATGTCAGAGCTAACAGATGCCTTGAACGTTTTCTGTGTTTACGGTGGTGAGACGATATTCCGGATTTGGCAATTCATGTTTAGTTGCATTTCCTTGGACCCACATCCACCATCCCGAGTCTGCCGTCGTCGCCTGGCCGGATAGCCTGAATCATGGGGCTCGCAGGCAGGAAAGAAAAGCAACGGATCCCAGCAGATCCAAGGAACCTATCATGGGCAGATAGTAAGCACTTCCCCTCCCTCATCTGACTCCATCCACCGCATATCTAACGAAAAAAAAAAAATCACTTCCCTCCCTTCCTCCCTCCCTAAAACCGCACCGACACCCCCAAACCAAAAAAAACAAACCAAAACGCACTTCACGAATCAGATGCTGCACGATTCGGCCAGGCCTACCTCTCCAAGATGGGATGGGATCCGTCCAAGGGCCTCGGGGCGTCTGGGGACGGGATGAAGTCGCATTTGAAGGTGACGCACAAGTTGGACATGCTGGGTATTGGGGCGGCGCATCAGAAAGACCCCCATGGGATTGCGTGGAAGCAGAATAAGGATTTTGAGAATTTGTTGAGGAGGTTGAATGAGAATGCGGGTAAGGAGGAAGAGGGGAAGGAGGGGAAGGGGGAAGTGTTGGAGGATGAGCGGGACGGGCAGGGTGAGGGTGGTAGTTCTAAAGTGGACGAGGAGGGGCAGGTCGACGAGGATAAAGCGGCAAGGAGGGAGAGGAAGAAAGAGAAGAAGAGGAAGAGGAAGGAGGCTGAAGACGGGGATGAGGCAGGTCGCAAGAAATCCAGGAAGAAGCAGAAAGGTGAAGACGAAGCACGCGTCACAGATTCCTCAAGCGCCTCGCAGCCGAATGCAGAATCCTCTGAGGATTTCGTAGTTGTGCAGACCCCTGTCGTCGTCGTCTCCGCCCCCGCTTCTCCCAAAATCAGAGCACGGCCCGCGGCGTAAGTGCAAGCTATCTTTGTTTGAATGGCTATTCTGCATCATGTGGCTAATATCACTGCATATTGTCCTTTACTAGTCATCGCGCCCGAATACAGGCATCAAAGCGTCTAGCATCAAAATCTGCAGCCGCTATATCTGAGATACTCGGTATAGCACCTACACCGTCTGCAGCCCCGAGTCCCTTGGGAACACTGACGCCCATCGGCGATGCTGAGCTTACCCTCGAGAAGCTGACGACATCGACCAAGAGTGTCGCGGATTATTTCAAGGAGAAGCTGGGCGCGAAGAGTGCCGGTGCGGGAACGAGCTCAGTCCAAGCTTTAAACGAACGGGAGGAGACGGGTGATTATGAGGCGCCCAGGGGTGGACTTGGACTTGGTGCATCGAGATTGAAAGCGAGCGGCTCAGACGAAGGGAGTGGGAGGCCGAAAGGTGGAATAGGGAGCTCGTCAGCTGTATTTGCACAGTTCTTTGCTGCTTCCACATTGACTACTACTGCCGTTTTGGAGACAGTATCCCCTATCACAGAGGAGGAGTCCTCAGAGTCGAAGGCGAATGATGAAGTTGTTGAAAAGGAGGGCAAAAAGCGGAAGAGAAAAGGAGAGGACGAGGAAGGTGGTAGTGAGAAAAGAGATAAGGAAGTGAAGAAGACAAAATCAAAGTATATGGGCACGGATGAGTCTGCAGAGGGTTCATCTTCTACGATACCCTTCCCCACTTCAGATGAAGTTATCTCTGCTGCCAAAAAGGACCGAAAGAAAGATAAGAAGAAGAAAGACAGGGAGACGAAGGAGGACGAAGTAGACTCGATCCCTACAGTGTCTCCCCCGATCGTAGACGACACGGAAGCCTTGTCTAAAGATGAGAAGAAGAAAAGGAAGAAGGAAAAGCGTGAAAAGGCAGAGAATGCTGACGCTCCCCCGCAATCTGCTATTCCCTTCCCAACTATAGATGAGGGGAAAGCGAAGAAGGAAAAGGCGGAAAGAAAAGCCAGGAAAAAAGCTCGGGAATCGTAGACATAGACCATGTCAACTAACATATATCCTTTATTCTGGTATAAGCTTTACAAAAATACTTGAGGGCCTTGCTGCGATATAACTCCTTTGACAAAAGATGATGCTGCCCAGGAAAAATATTAAGTATGGATACATAGGAAAATGATAGGTATAAAAAAAATCCTAGCAGTGTTCATAGGTCGTAATCATTCAGAGTAACTCGGTGCAGAATCCGTCTGTAAATACACTTTCACCCCGTCCTTCAGCTTACCAGGATCTATGCAGTGTATCTTGAGTGCATTGATCACCTCGGGTATAACATCCGTATCAACATCTTTGCCCCATAAAATGTCCAGGTGCTCGTAGCCCTCAAGCCGTTTTGCCACTGTGTGCTCTGGAAGTTCACGGAGCATCGTTTTAATGTCCACCAGACTATCCTGGTCACCGTATAGGAGCACGATAGGGGTAACGATGTTGCGAGTAGGGAACCGCGCGGGCCGATAAGAACTGACGGATGTGCGAACGACGGGGATAATATCGTCGTCGTACATCTGAAATGCGGAATTGCGCATGATTTGGAACCAATGCACTACGGATTTAACCGAGGCAAAGGAGTAGAGGTGGGCGTAAGCGGCGATCTTCTGGGTTGAGGTGATGTTGTGATTGTGCCAATCGAACAGGAAGCCCAGTGAGGTATCGATGACTTTAGCAAAGATAGGAGGGTATATGATAGACTGCCACATTGCAGCGGATGAGAGAATAGATTTCCGGCCAAAAAATAGGAACATTAACGTGGGTCTGTTGTTATGATACGGTCAGAAACACGATGAAGAGTACAGGGACCAGGCACTTACGAGGCTTTCATGAGCCCATCTACGATGGGTGCCGCCAAGCCCGCGGGACTCATAGCGGGTGCTAGGGCGATGAACACATTCACTTTCTCATTGAGCTGCGGGTGGATGCTGAGTGCGGCGAAGGCCTGTGCTGTGCCTTGACTGAAACCAACGTAGCTAAGGCTTTCGGCCTTTGTGGTATCCAGGATATAGGAAATAGAATCTGGAATATCATGCCATGCAAAGTCATCGATGCTGAAGTCCCAAAATTTGGTAGAGTTAGGGTTGTGATAGAGAGATTTTTTCGAGTATTTGTTTCCTCGGTTGTTTCCTAGCCAAACATCGAAGCCTAATTAAGGCAGTTAGAAAGCAGGGTAGAAGAGCCATGAAAGATAAAAGACGCTTGCCTTGTTCCACAAGGACAAAAGGTAACGAGCGTTCTGCTTCAGTCAGGCACACCCAAACTTCACTGTTCATGAGCAGTCCATGGTGAAGATAGACTACAGGCTTTCCGGTGCTCGTTCCCGGACTACTCTTCCTTTGTCCTTTCTTGGAAGGCAAACGGTGTAAACCTAGGAGGTATCCATCCTTCGTGAGAACAACATGCTCCTCGTGCGTGTAACTAAACAACTCGCACAACTCTCCAAAATCTTTAGCCTTCAGGATCTTATCGGAGATAGTATTTTCCCTGGACTTCGGCTTTGGTTTAGTCTCTTGTCCGTACTGATGGAACAGGAATCGAGAACGGTCGTAGAACCAGCGGATGATGGGTTTAGGCAAGACTATGATGATGAAACGCAACAAGGTTTCCAGGGCGAGAAAGGAGAATCCAACTATCAGCGCAATGTATTCGTGCACTGAGAGTCGCCCTAGAAGAGGAACAAAACCCATGCTCTAAAACAAAATGACCCTTCAGTTCAACGCTCCTGGTTGTTTGACTTGAAGTACGCACGAAGTTGTGTTTCTAGTGTGAAGTTATTCACAGAATAAGTAGGTAAGGGTAGGGTTGTGGTATTTTCGATGACAAGAGCATAAGACAAGAAACAAACTATGTCGATGGAGTATTGTGGGGAAATCACATGAACCAAAATTAAAATCATAAAGACCTTACAGACCATAAAGTAAGGTTAAGGTTAGCAGATGACCACTTCAACCAAGAAACCTGAAAACAGACACCGCGGCGCTGCAGCTGTAACTGATTCTCTTTCGTTCTTAGGATGCGTCTGTTAAAAAGGATCCTAGCCATCACTGCCTTTTCAGCCGCAGGCATAACCTTCGTACTTTTCTCGTTTCCTCTCTACCGCTTCTTCCATATCCTCTGGATGCTCACAAACATTGGACCTAGCTTTCACGGTTTGTCCGCGTCCGAGGCCCAAATGACATCATCCGTACATGAAGTCCTTGAATACGCTGTCTCCTCTCTGCTACGTCCTACTGGCTCTGCACGCGAGACTAGCATCAAACCACAAATCAACAGCACAATAGCAGAAATCGAGGCCCTTCAAAACATCTTTACATGTTACTTCAATCACATACCTACTCGAGCGCAAGGCCATACAAGACCTTCGTACGGACGGTATGGCGAATCTGTAAACAGGTGTAACACAAGCGTCCCTGTAACAAGCAACGTCAATCAGGGATCCATCACTAATCGTTTCTGTACGTCTTTCAGAGGTCGTAGGATCCTTATCGTCGGCGGGGATTTATCATATCGATTACATTCACTGCTGATGCATCACCAAGAAGAACACGAAAACCGCACATTCTCATGCCAAGGCCCGGTATTCTGCACACACCACCACCTCTGTCAACCACATGGAGTTCACGGGGTGGAAATTCACTCCGTTATTACACAGAACGCTCGCCGTACGAAATCCCCCACAGCTCAGGAACTTGCCATCACTGGCGCTGTTGGAATGCAATTTGTGCTCTCGCAGTCTCTCCTTCCTTTATCAGACGCATCTGCATGGCAATATAACTCACCTGTAATAGATCCATTAACGGACGTTCGGGTGCGAGATAACTACTGGCTGCGCCATGCTCGAAGTGCAGATGTCATCTTGCTCAATCGCGGGCCGCTCCCTGCTCCTGCGTCCACATACGCCTCTCATAGCGGAAATTGGTCGTATGCCAAGGATCTTCCGACTTACCTTGAAGCTATACGGCCCAACAGCTGGGAAGACCAACCATTTATCTACGATAACAAACATATGCAGACCAGGTTACTTGTGAATGCAGCTTTACACGTCACGCTCACCAGTTTCTTGCCTTCACTCGTGCAGACCCTGAATGCGCTTCACCACGATGTCAATCTACGACATAAACTTGTGATATGGCACGATAGTCACTTTATGCACCAATCTCATTCAGACAAAAAACCAAGGCTTCGTCGACATCATTTTTTAGGGGACTATTTGCTCTTTCGAGGACATTTACAGATAGCAGAAGATCCGTGGAAATTCTATCACAATGCGCAAGGTCAGTATTTTCCCGTATTCTGACGATTTTGTGCCTCGCTGAAAAGAGCTCGTTTGCTGATAGTTTATATGCAAAATTATGCTATACGGCGTTTGCTTCCCCACTTTGGCATCCAGTATCTCCCGCTCTGAGACGATTCAATACAATAAATGTTAAACAGATTGATGCATATGATGTCATTAGTTCATACTATGTGGAATGAATGTGCAAGACGTAGATAAAGAAAGGATTGTTAGGCTATGAGAAGACTAAAAGAGAGTATTTCTCAGTCTTATAATCAAGAGACTCAGATTGAAGGATAATATACCTAAAAGAGAGTATTTCTAATAGTGTAAAGTGAGTATGATGATATAAAGTAAACTGTAAAATAACCAGACATACCTCAGTCTTATAATCAAGAGACTGAGGTTTGTGTAAGGCAGAGTGCTACGAGTTTTTGGAATAAGTGTGGGAAAGTTTTGAGCTTATGTAATGTAGTGGAAAAGCGGTCAAGTAGAGATGAAAGAATGGTGTATGGAAATGAAGAAATAAAAGGATAAAATGATAGGATGTGAGTGTATCATAAACAGGATATGCCAACACACCCCCTCAAACCAAATCAACTCCCATTAATTTATTGAAGTGTTGTAATTTGGGTCGAGCCAGTGGCTTTGTGAGTGCGTCTGCAGGCATTTCATTTGTGGGACAAAATAGGATTTGAATCAAATTTTGTTCGACAGATTGTCTTATGAAATGATAGCGAATATCGATATGTTTGGTGCGAGAATGATAGATATTATTTTTGGTGAGCTCAATTGCACTACGATTGTCGCCATAAAGCGGAATTGGTCTAGTGAGTGGTTTGTTTGTGATTTCGGCCCAAATGTTTTTGAGCCAGATGGCTTCTTTGGCTGCGTGTGTGATAGCCACATATTCGGCCTCTGTGGTCGATAGTGTTACAATGGGCTGTGTCTTACTATTCCAGGAGACGGCTCCACCATTGATCCTAAAAACATATCCTGATATAGAACGTCTGTGGGAATGTGAGGCAAAGTCTGCGTCCGAAAATCCAACCAAGCCTTCGTCGGTTTGGCCTATGACCAATCGGAACTCTTTGGTGGCTTTCAGGTATCGTAGGACTCGTTTTGCTGCCTCCCAGTGTGTTCGACCAGGATTTTGTAGGAAACGAGAGAGTGAAGATATTGCAAATGCGATATCCGGTCGAGTGCCAGTAGCAAGGTACATGAGAGATCCTATTGTTTCTCTATAAGGTATGTTTTGCATCTCGATGACTTTGGCTTCGGCTGATGGTGATTGTGAGTCGTCAAAAAGTAGACCTGGCTCGACCGGAGTTGATACAGGTTTGCAGTCTTCGAGGTTGAACCTTTTTAGTATTGTTTCTATGTATGCCTGTTGACCTAGAGATACAGTGCGAGTTTTGCGGTCTCGTTGTATATGGATACCAAGTAGCCAGTTGACTTGGCCAAGGTCGGTGATCTCATATTCTCTCTTTATTCCTTCCTTGAATTCACTGATAGCCTTTGTAGTTTTACCTGCAATGAGCATGTCGTCAACTGACACTGCAACTACTAGGCTGTCGGTGCCACAATACTTGATGAAGAGAGCATGGTCATGTTGAGATTTTGAGAATCCGAGAGTGGTAAAAGTCTCAGTAAGCTTCGTATACCATTGTTTTCCCGACTGTTTGAGACCATAGAGACCCTTGTTTAGCTTGCATACAAGCCCTTGTTGTTCGGGTTTCAAGTAGTTTGGTGGAGGATGCATGTATATGTCTTCGTCAAGAGTTGCATTTAGGTATGCGCTCTTTATATCTAACTGGTGAGTTTCCCAGTCATTTGCTGCTGCATGTGCGAGAACCAGGCGGTTGGTGGTCATACGAGACACGGCTGAATAAGTCTCATTGTAGTCTATTCCATATATCTGGGTGCTGCCATTCGCTACTAAACGAATCTTGAATTTTAGGATTTCGTTGTTTGGTCCTCGTTTGATTCGAGGGACATAGTGGCAGCGTATTATATTGGCATGCGGCGGGGGTTTGACCAGGTCCCAGGTGCGCAAGTTCTCTATTTGCTTCAATTCTTCATCTATGGCATCTAACCAGTTTTTCTTGTTAGGTCCGTTTAGTGCCTCAGTTATGGTTGGATTGTCGCTAGCGGTTCGATTGTTTGCAGTCGTGGCTGCGCTCCAAGCGCCTAGGTAAGCGCTTTCGTTGTTTTCGTTGTTTTCGCCGTTTTCGCCGCTCAAGTCAGCTGACTCGTTGATTGCAGATGCGGCTGTGAAGCGGCCCTCATGCAAGGCCTTATAGAAGCCTGCTGGCTTCGGTTCTCCTCGTTTAGGCCGCTCAGCAAGACCTGGTCCAACTTCAAGAGGTTCTGGGAGGTTCATTACAGCTGGAGGAGGAGGCTGAAGGTCGTTTGGAGGCGGCTGGGCGACAGGATTGGGATGGATGGCGTTTGGTTGGATTGGATGAGGCTGGAGGTTGTTTAGAGGCGAGTATGAGCGAACGGCTACTGGTAAGTCGTCGACAGTTTCGTTTTCGTGAGTTGCTGATTCGATCGGTTCGTTTGTAGAGTTGACCGTCGGTTCTTCAAATATACGGCCATCGTCGTTTTCGGCAGTTTGGGATGGGGTAAGACGTTCTTGTGGATTAAAAATGATGTCGCGTTCAACACTTACGGTACGTCGTTCTGGCCAGTATATTCTGTGCCCCTTTGACTCATCATCAAATCCAATCCATTTACCAGCCTTTACGTGTGGGTCTAGTTTGCCTGCGTCAATAGTTTTGACATATGCTGTGCATCCAAATTCATGAATATTGGATAAATTCGGTATGTGGCCGTGGACTATTTCGTACGGTGTTTTGCCTTGTAGTGCCTTGGTAGGGGCTCGGTTTTTGATCCAGACGGCATGCCTAATAGCTTCGCTCCACAGGGATTTAGGCATATTTGCACCAAATAACATTGCACGAGCACATTCAATGAGTGTGCGGTTGAGGCGTTCTGACACGCCGTTCTGCTGGGGTGAGTCATGGGTTGTTAATTCCCTGACAGTGCCTTGTTTTTGCAGGTGCGCATCAAAATTGAGGCTTGTGTATTCGCCTCCGCGATCAGACCTCAGGATCTTTATTTTACTGTGATCCTTTTGCGTGTCGAGCCAGGCTTCAAAGTTATTATACATCTGTAGAACCTCATCTTTCTTTGCAAGTAAACGCACGTGAGTTTCTCGGCTAAAGTCGTCTGTGAAAGTTAACATGTATCGTTTTCCTTTCAAGTCTTGAACAATAGCCGGACCCCAGAGATCCGAATGGATTCTTTCCGCATAATGTTTAGCTCGAGTGTGGCTAGTTTTTGGGAAAGGTTTCCTGATGGCCTTTGCTTGTACACATGTCTCACAGAAAGATATGGCCTCGGAACTATCCAGGACAATTCCTTCAGCTAGATTTGAATCAACGAGGTGCTTGAGTGATTTATGGGCTATATGGCCCATTCGCCGGTGCAGATCGTTAATGGTGACTGTGCTGGCAAGGTATGCTCCTCTTTTGTAATTTTTACTGACGTTGGATATGTGATACAGGCCCTTTGTTTCTGGGATTTGAGCTATTGTTCGGCAGCCAGGTGGGGGCGAGCGTATCTCGCATATGCCTCCGCCTATGTGAACAGTGTATCCTGCCTTGTCCATGCGACTAGCAGATATGAGTGTCGAGGCCATTGTAGGGCAGTGTAGCGTGTCTTTTAATATGACACGAGAGCACTTGTTCCCATTTGGTAGATTAACAGTGACGTCGCCCTTGCCACGGGCGTACATGATATCGCCATTTGCTGCGTTGATAGGTATAGGATCGATTGGCGTATATGATTGGAATCTGTGGCGATCAGGACAGAAGTGGTCTGTCGCACCACAGTCAATGATGGCTTCATGATCACTTATGTGAGTTTCAGCTTTGTTTGCCGAAGCTGTAACCTGTGAACTGACAGCAAAGGCATATATCTCGTCGTTCTCATGTTTGGGAGCAATTGCAGCTATATTTGCAGTGGCTGCAGTATTTGTTCCCTGTGCCGTCTGAGGAGGATTTACTTGATTGTCCCTTGGATTAGCCTTGTTTTTAGGGCCGTGACCTTCTCGGCCTCCGCCAGGTGCAAAGCACCTTTCGATAGTGTGACCAACTTTGACGGGGCATTTAGGGTTGGTGCATTTGTACCGTTTGTTTCTTTCGGCCTTACGATCCTTCCAACCGGATTTGGCCATCATGGCTGTTTTGGACTTGGCTTGAGCAGAGATTGCTCGTGTGTCTGCTTCTTCAGTTACATGAGCAATTATATCCATTGCCGAAAGCTGATTTTTGGATATACGAGCGGCGGCTAGGATTGATGAGAGTAGTGGACGATAGGAATCTGGGAGGGAAGATAACATCATAGCAGAGAAGTCCTTCTCTTCGACTGTTGCTCCCATGCCTGCTAATTGCTCTCGGAGCTTTAGCATGTCTCCTATATGACTTCGGACATTTGTAGATTCAGTGCATTTCATATTTTGTAAACGGCGCCTGATGTCAATCTGCATCATCTCCGTTTTGCCTTCATGCATGTGGCAAATGGTAAGCCATATTGTAGCTGCCGAACTCTTGTCCTGGATTTGGATGAGAGTTTCATCGTGAACAGTAGAAAATAATTGCTGGATGACGAGACATTCTTTCTGAGTGTATTCATCAAGCTTGGTTTCATAGGTTTCTATGTCTTCTTCTTTAAGGGTAGTGCCGTCGGTTTTTGTAGCTATGCCATTAGAATCCCTAGTATATTCAAGAGGATCTGGCTTTCGTGCAGTTCCAGACAGGTGTCTGGTTAGACCTCGGGCACCAACAGCCACAGCTACATGAGACTTGTATGTAACCCAATTGGAGCCATCCTTGGCCAGTTTGGGTACAGAGAATGTCGAAGCTGTAGAAGACATATCAAGTGAGCTGGCAGGGCTCATAACCTGTTAGGCTATGAGAAGACTAAAAGAGAGTATTTCTCAGTCTTATAATCAAGAGACTCAGATTGAAGGATAATATACCTAAAAGAGAGTATTTCTAATAGTGTAAAGTGAGTATGATGATATAAAGTAAACTGTAAAATAACCAGACATACCTCAGTCTTATAATCAAGAGACTGAGGTTTGTGTAAGGCAGAGTGCTACGAGTTTTTGGAATAAGTGTGGGAAAGTTTTGAGCTTATGTAATGTAGTGGAAAAGCGGTCAAGTAGAGATGAAAGAATGGTGTATGGAAATGAAGAAATAAAAGGATAAAATGATAGGATGTGAGTGTATCATAAACAGGATATGCCAACAAGGATACTGTAATACTGTAGATGATTATATAGATGGGTGATGCACCTGTTTTCTGAATCTAACCCACGCGTCCACCTGCTCCTTATCGACCTCTAAACCATGTTCAGCCTTCAGATGGCGACGGAGGTCATATGCTCGAGTGAGTACGTGATCACAGCTTGGCATATTTTGGGAGTGGCTGCTAGAACTAGCAAGTGCGTTTGTGGACTCGGTCGATAATAGATCTTCCATGTTAGGATACGGACAGCGTAAGGCTTTTGCACTTGCCATCTGACTCTGTGCCCTGTATGCGTAAGATTTACCAGTGATAGAGTCGATGTCCATCAGCATGGTCCGAGGAGCTGGCTCGTCATCGTCACGATCTGTACTGTCTTCCGCCGACGATGACTGATCGTTTTTGTTGTTCGAGTGAAGTTTAGCCAAGTGTCGTTCGAGAAGGTGCTTGTAGCCAAACGCACTGTCACAATGTCTATGTGGACAAACATGATCTCGTCTGCCTAGATGGATAACATTGTGATGTGTTGTCAATGCCTTTTTCTGAACATTCATTGCATCAGTGCTTTTCCCTCCCATACGGGACGATAACTGATATCCTACCGATTTGAAATCCTTCTCGCAACCAAAGATATCACATTTCCAATCCCTGCCCAACTCACCACCCCTACGTCGTTTACGTGATCGAGTCGCACCATCTTCGTCCACCTCGTCTGCGTCGCCGTATTCTTCATCGAGAACGGCCTCGACTTCTCGTTGCTCGTGGAGCTTCTGGTGAGCGCGAAGCCCATGGTGGGAAGCGAATGTTCGGCCTATGCATGATGGATGAGGGCACGTCGGTGGGTGAGCGGTACGGACGTGGTGCTGGAGAGACGTCCAGGTCGGGTAGTAGACGGGGTCGCTATTCGCACGGGGCAAGCATGCAGCGTGAACACAAGTATAACGTTTATCTGCAGAAGAAAATATAAGATCGTCAGTAAGACAGCATTTCGAATAAAACAAAGGGCGAACGTACCATCATGTGTTTTGGAATGCGCACGCAACTTTTGGTCTGTTGAAAAGGATTTCGTGCAGCTTTCATTAGAACACTGGTAAGGCTTGGTCCCTGGAGGCGAATGGGCTTGGCAGATGTGAGCTCTTAGCTGATGGTGTTTGGAAAAGCTTTCTTCGCAAGATGGTTCAGTACACTGTACATAGTATGGCACCGTCAATACGCAAATGTATGTTTATAGGAGATTATTTTACATACTGCGTAAGGCCGAGTGCCTGTATGAGTGTCCTCGTGTACACGGAGGTGTTGAGATGTCCAAAATCGTTTCTGGCATGAAGCACATGCAAAAGGACGTGAAGATTGGGGGAGGTGACTCCTAGAATGTGCTTGCAAGTGCGTTTCACGAAGGTATGATTTGTTGCAGATAGTGCAGATGAATGGACGCTGGATGGTAAGTTAGAGGATGTTTAGAGAGGGAAACGAGAGTTAAGAGAAAGCCTTACTTCGCCCGTATGAGAGCGTCGATGCTCTACTAGCCGCGAAGACTTGGTATAGGACTTGGTGCAGCCTGAGAATGTACAGCGGTGGATCCCCTTGAATCCAGAAGAGGACTCAGGTTCGTCAGGTTCATCTGGAACTGGGGAGAAAGAGTCATCTTCTGCAGAGCTGCCTTGCGTATAAGCATCACTGCGTTCTGGGGCTGGAGATGTGCTTGAACTGAGTCGCAAGACTAGAGATGCTTTTCGTTTTCCGAGAACAGGTCGTGGTCGCAGTGAAATGGTGGATATTAAAGTTGCGGATGCCATTGGATTTTGATTTTGAGGATACAGTGTAAAGTGGGTTAAAATCAAGCGCTCAGTACCCAGTACCCAGTACAAGTAACTCAGTAGTAGTGGGACTTCAACGGTAAGAAATTGTGACTGGAACAAGGACTGGACTTGAACTTTTTGAAGCGCAGGTAGAACGCGTGTAATACTAACTTGAATGGTAAACGGCATTAGCCGAGGATTCGACCATGATCATGGGGTCCACCACTTTCATAATTCGTTATCTACCATGATTTTTTCCTGTCAAGGTACAGTCCAAAGACAAATCACTCAGCGGTGGAAGGAACAATACTTTTCTTCGAAATGGTATGCCTAAGGGAGACGGGGCGCAAAGTCAGGAAGTTTATACTTCAAAGGTAAGCCATTCCTGTCCCTTTTAGACATCGCTCGATTGTGCTGAACATGTAGACATTGAGATATAGAACTCTCAAGTTTTATGATCGTGAAACGTCTACGTTTGCGCAGAAGTAACCATACAACTAATCATACAAGCTTCTTTCATGTCTCCAGTGTCTTCAAGCTATACCGCCAACTCTCCTCTTCACCTCCTCGCAATCCACGAGACCGACACCGGCATTCTTCACCTCCTCCTCTTGCTTTCCTGCCAACTCTTGAGATACACATTTCGTCAGATCCCTCACATACCATGACTTGAACCCAAACTTGACCGCATCAATTGCAGTGAACTTGACACAGAAATCGCCGGCAACGCCAGTGACGAATACGTCTGTTACTCCATGCTGGGACAAAAGAGCAGGAAGAGTGGTAGGTACGAGGCCCCAAGGATCGACGAATGCTGAGTAACATTCCACATCCTCGTCCATTCCTTTATGGACCGTTGCATCAACTTTCACTGTATTCAACCCGCCTGCGTATTCGCTCCCAGGCGTCGTGGCAACACAATGAACAGGCCACAAAACCTGCTCCAAGCCCTTCAACTCCGCGAACCCAGCCTTGGGTACATGCACTGATGTTAATCGTTCAGGAGGAAAGATCGTGATCTTTTCCCCGACGCTCTTTCCGTGTGTAGCTGCAAATGAGATATGATTATGCGGGTGCCAATCTTTTGTTCCGACTTTGAGTGCAAACGGTAGTGAAAGAATGTCGTTGATGGGTTCGATGAGAGAGGGGGCATCGTTCACTGCGAGACTGCCTGTTACGAAGTCGACTTGCATGTCGACTATGATAAGTGCAGGGACAAAAGTGGTAGAGGCCATTTGTTCGTACGTGAAAAATGGAGGAGTATAGGGAGTGGGCTATTATTTTCAGTTTGGTCTTGGGACGGTATATATCACGATTTCACATTCCAGCTGTCAATGTTCTCGTATGGAAGCAAGCCGCAGAAGGACAAGTAGACGTTGCGTTATATGTTCATATCCGTTATCTCGCAGGCAGATAGGAGCTATAATAGATTGTCCACGTGAGACAGCCTTATATGGAGACCCCTAACTAGAAATGAAGGGACGATCTTAACTATCGAGCCATATGATCAGTCAGGTTAACCAAACCGCAAACGCAACATACTAGATGTCTCGAACATGGGAATAAAGTGAAAAATATTTCATGTCCATACTATCGACGAATCTTGGTCCTCAGGCTGAGCGGGTTAAACGTGTTTGAATTGTCAAAAGCATCACACATTCCATCAATGTGTACTGTCTGGGAACAATTGTTTATTGCTGATTTTTCGGCCGTTCGGACTTTGAGAGTGGACTCGAACACTGGACAAGCTAAGCCTAGGGCATAGATCCCAAACGGAAGAGGAGTGTCTGTTTTTTAAAAGCCCACGATGCTCTCTTGCATTTGTTCCCGCGTTAGGCGCTCGAGCGGCTTCATTGAATTCATGTCACGCCTCGACTTCCTTCCACTCCAAATTCTGGTTTTGTTGGGTAGGAGTTTTTCTTTTTTTGGGCCACTGATTGCTTTAATTGACCTGAAGGATGTGGGTTGTTGGTTTTCGTGAGGGGCTATTGCGTTCCGTGGTGGTTGCATGTGTGATACCACAATATCCAACATGGATTCAGATCCACAGTATTCAAAAATCGTTGGATGTAGCGATAGCGAAGCAACGGAGGCTGGCACCATGGATCGACTATAATTCCGTAGTGATATGCAAACCGTTTGCTTTCAACAGTCGTTGGTACCCCTAACGAAACACAAGAGTATGATGGTTATTCTCCTTCAAGCGCCTTTCGTATAGATGGCACCAGGCCATGAGAAGCGTGTTTCAATATCAATACAATGAGCGTTTATGTCAGGGTCTACCTGGCACTAGAATGCATGGTGGGCGGGGGATGGGCATTGTTGCAATGCTTCATCATCTAGATCTTCCGGACGAAAATGAAAACACAGGATCTTAGTATTGCGCGTCTAGCTGCGGTAAGAGATGTAAGGAAGGGCGGTTCCCTCCAAAAGCCATGTACCACCGTAAAAAGGCGCCATCAAAGTTCACGACAAGCATGTATAGCGCATGCAATTGTGAAAGAATGGAGACGGGAACTGGTTGTTGGTAGCATGTCTGAATTTGTTCTCGATAAAGTGAGCCATATAAAAGGTATTTGCAGCTGATACAACGGAGAGCCCACAAACACTGACTCTGAGTCTTTCCTTGTTATTCCGATACCTTGGAATCTTTCCATTATGCCACTTGAGAATGTTCCTTTCCGAGACGCCAAATTTTCCCTAGACACCATAGCTGTGGCTGGATTCTTTGGAGGTGAAGAAGTGATTGCCGCAATGCTGACTGTGCATCTTTATGAGGGGAGGAAGTGGCTAGGCTGGTACAACTCTCCGGGCAGTTATACTGTCGCAAAGCGGTATGGGCAGATGGCAAAATCAAGGTTATGGGATGGGCTTTTTCCAGGACCTAACCTAGATCCAGCTACGGTGTTCCAATTTGCAGGAGAAAAAGGTCCAAAATTTATAGCTGCCTTTTCCGGAACCGTCATGGACAAGACAAGCTATATAGCGCACTTGCTTGCCGAAGAATGTAAGGGCGCAGAGGATAGAGATATTAGAAAGATAGAGCTGGAAGATAAAACGAGGAGGACAACTCCGACGAAGGTGACTGTCATACATTTACCACCTGCTCAGGACTGGCAGGGTAATGTGAAGGACAAGAAATTGCCACTGAACCTGCTGGAAACGCACTCTGTGTGGCTTGCAATTTTCCCCATCTTTATCAGCTTGTGCAGCACTGCTGCATGTGGTCTGTTCGAGGATTGGTACTCCTTTTCCTTGATATTACTCGGGATCTTGTCAAGCGGGATCACTTGCCTGGTAATTGGATCAGGAAAGCTCAATCTAAACTACATTAACTCAGCCGAAGGGTCACCACCAGGAGACGGGATGATGAAGTATGACGGTAACGTGGTTATCTTGAAAGGAACGGAGCATTCCGTTGCCGCCATCACAAGGGGTGAATTCAGGCTGGAATTCACGGAGGAAAAGGCAACCGGGCGCTCTGAGCCCACATACAGGAATATTGGACGCTGTTCTGTCTTGCTAGTCGCCCAATTCTTGCTGCAACTTCTCCTCGTCCCACAAGGTACCCTTTTTGGACAAGCCATGTTTCTTGTTTCGCTCGCTTCTTCTTGGGCCTACAATGCCTATCTTTCATCAATCGACAAGACGATGACTCAAAGGGACATACTGAGGAAAATAGGCCAAAGGGTGCTGCCAATGGAAGAAAATATGAGAAGATACGAGCTTCCAACATGGACTTCGACAACGGTCTTTGTGCTCCTTGCACTGAAACCAAGTGATCCTCGCAAAATCTTGCAGGAGTTAATCCCCAATGACACAGAGGTGTGGAAAGTGTGGAAGGACGCGGTGGTGGCAAGGATGGCCAAGCAGCAGAATTACTCTGCCAGCGAGTCCGCTGAGGACTGGAGCTTTTCGGAGCCGGCACACAAATGGGCCTCCGACCCTGCATCCAAGGATATAAAGCTGCTTGAAACGCTTTTCGCTGATACTAAGGCCGCATTCGAGGGATATAGACGTTATTTTGACTGGGATGCTGGTTTGGACTTGGAGCAACCGCCACCTGAAACCCCAGAGACCCGGCCCCGTGACATGGAAAATTGTGACCGTGACACCTTTCGAACACCTTCAAGTTGGTTTCAAATCCGAGTCATTGCAAGCAGATGGTGAGTGAAAACTTACTTTGCGCACATGCATGCTGATACTATTTGGAACAGGCTCGGGAACACCAGTTTGAAGAGAGTGGGCTTGAAAGAAGGTTCGGAACAACTGGTTTAGTTGTAGATCTAGGTCTCGTCTTTTTTTTTGTGTTCTTTCCAGCCTGAGGTCCACATGGGTATCGTGGACCTTCGCTGAGTTCGATGCTCGATATCAGAATTGTCCGCGATACGATACTCTCCACTCAAGATCGCGAGTCCAAGCTCATGATTTATTAGAATGATAAAAGCATGCACATTTCAATACGATATTTATAGCTAGCATTGTACAACAGACAATTTACAAACTGCAGTAAAATACGAAATTCGAGGATATGAGAGTATGGGAGTGAGAGAGATAATGAGGAAATGAAGAAACATATGATCTAGAACGAATTCTCGAAGAAAAAGAACATAATATATAGTTCAGAAAAAGCGGGACGAATATTTTGACGCAAGGCGCGTCAGCCAAACCACGAGAGCGCAATGCAAAGAGGCACGCAAATGCCCCTCTCAAAAAAAATCAAGATATGGTCAAGATGACCCAGAATACTATGCAATAACGACACTATCGATGACTCCCCGAAGCCTCATGTGATGAATGCGATGAAGTAGGGGCTCCACCACTCACAATCTGTCCAGCGTCAGCCTGCTTCCCAAGTTCTTGCTGCCGCTGCCATATAAGTTCTGCCCAAAGTGGGTTCGGCGGGATACGTCCAACCAGCGCACGAAGTACGTCAAGCCTTCATAAAGAACCAGTAAGCATTTACCCAGCAGCAGAGAAAGGGCGGAAGAGAGACACTCACCACTTTGCCTTCTCCTCATCCGTATCCGCAAAAAATAATATTTCTTGATTGCCAGCAAATAACAACCTTATTGACCTTTCCACGCCATACAGCCCATCATAGTCATCCGCATAGGTATTTCGACCGTTCGTACGCGAAGCAGGACTCAAAACGTTATTTCGTGCTTCCTGGATATCTTCCACCGCGACGGCTTTCTTGAGATTGATTGTTGCCGTTGCACGCTTCGTCACATCATTGAAAGCCACTAGGTTCGCACCAATCACACGGAACTGTCGACGACGCCAAGTCTAAAGTGATAATGGACACGTTGATCTCGTTAGTAAAAAGGACCAGAGAAGCAAAGGAAAATAAACGCACGGTACAATCACCCCCATTCTGCGTCAACGTACCCTCAAAGTACGTCACCTTATGCCATCCCACATGCCTCAGGCCCCGATGACATTCCTCTAAACTCTGTGGCAGCTCATCAATCGGCACGCCAGGCAGCGGTGGGAGCCTGAACATCTGTAAAACAATCTCTCCAAGCTCCATTGTTGAAGTTCGTCCCTTACCCCCAGGGCTAGCTTCCTCGACACGCTGCCCAATTAGTGGATAGCTTATCTCGAATAGCCGTGTATCGCATCGCGCAGCAACGTCTTTGAACGATATGAAGGCGCGTGCAAGTGTCCCATCTTGCTTCAAGTATCGCGCAAGATTTTCTGGCATCTTCGGGGCGGGGGGAGGAGGGGGTGGAGCTCGTGAGGCGGATTTGGAAGGCTTTTTGGGCGACGAGGAAAGGAAGCTAAACATTCCGCCTTTTGGTGCTGGAGGGGGTGCTGCTACAGGGGGAGGAGGCGGGGGTGGGGCTATTGCTTTGAATTGTTGCACTATATGTGGGTCTCGCCGTATCTTAAGGGTGAGCGTAAACTCGAGCTTGCTGTGCTCAATACTAGAGAAAGTACCGCGTAGAATAATCAGTACACACGATATTACACATGACAAACAAGTCGAACTCACAGCTCAAACTCCTGGTCAATACGACATTCTCTTCCAAGCTTGCATTCGGGCGTCGTGACGAAATGAATACCATTATTGAGTGTGCATGTAATGGCCGTTTGTTCTCGCGGTAGCGGTACGTTCAGATTCTTCACGCCCAGCACTAGATTTGAGCCAACGTCAGTTATCAACGGGCTCAGACCGCAGCTCAGGTAAAATAAAACTCTACATACCCCGCACGAAGACTTTACCATGCGTCTTTCCTGGCTTCTCCTGTGACCTGTACTCCCTGATCTGCTTGGCATATTCATTCTATTACAACAAAAGGTTAGCCAAATCAATGCGCGCAGGATCAGAGTTATGAAAGTACACTCACCATGTCAGAAGGTCTCCGCACGGGCTTCCACGCCTTGCCCGCATTGACATCGCCAGCCATGCTCATATGCGTGACACGTCCTCCATCTGACGAGGCGTATATCGTACCCTCCCGCTCGCGGACGTGATATTTCTACAGCATAGAAGTGCGGTTAGTAACGGTTCAACAGCTCCATCAAGGAATAACTCGAAGAGATCATTTAAATATACAAGTAATGTGGCTCACATTTTTACCTGCGCCCTCCAACTTCCTCAGCTCCCTTGTAATACTATCGCCGAGTACATCGTCACCCTCGACCCCAATCCCCACATCCAAAAATAGGCCTCGCCCTGTCCCAGCGGTAGCATCGCCAGTACTTCTGCTCCTCCGCCGGCTCGGTCTCCCAGCGCCAACACCACCCACAACAGCACTCAATCGACTTGAACCACTTGCAGCATTCACCTCCACGCTCGCTCTCCCAACCCCAGCCGCACTCGGTCTCCCCAACCCAATCTGACCTGACGCTTTCGTTCTCTCGGGAAGGCGCTCAGGAAGACTCCGCCCCATGCCTTCCTCCTCTTCTCTCCTTCTCGCTTCCCTCCGCTTCTCCAGAATCATTTCCTCCCTTGAACGTATAGCATCCTTGGGTGGTGGTGTAGGCGCAGCCATAGAAGAGGCTCCGCTGATATTCCTCCCATATTCATGTTCTCGCTGGCCTTCACTGCCGGGAGGGGTAGAGAACCTTGGTGCAGAATATGAGTACAAGACCCCAGGATCTGTCATCGCACGTTGGACAGGCGGTGCTCTCATCCGCGACTCATTCCTCCCCTCTTCGTCATCGTCTTCCTCTTCACTCCCTATCTCAGTCTCCGTTCTCATCGAATCGTCCCCCTCAAACCTCCCTGCTCTCACCCCCTCCGTCACATCTTCCACCTTAATCCCTCCCCTCCCCTTACGTCTCCCAAGTTCTCTGTGGCTGTGATCCTGGTCTCTATCGTTCGCCCCATCTTTAGATCCCGCACTCCCCTTCACATCATCCATCAACCGGTCCAGCGCAGACCTCATATCTCCCAATTCCCCCACACCAATCCCACTTGCACTAACATTCCCGCCTCCACCACCGAGTGCGACGTTACTTCCGTTCCCAAGTCCAAACCCGATTCCAAGCCCAACCCCCTCCCCAAACCTCCCTCCAAAGTCGACATCTAGTTCCATCGCCCGCGATGCTTCTATCTCTCTAGCCCCTCCAACGACCTTCTTCTCGGCCTTCTCAATGGTGGCCAACTCTGCGCTCACCCCACTGACATCCGTTGTCCCCTCTGTCCCTTCCATAGACATCGATGTACCTCCACCTTCCAAAGTGGTAGTCTCCCCTCCCTCTTGCTCAACCATCGGCGACTCACTCCGCCTCCTCAACAGTCGTCTCTGCACATCTTCCCTACTTATCCTCGGCCTCCCCAATCGTGATCCAGACCCAGAACTGTTCAAGCTCCCCATACTCTCACTCTCACGCAAAGGTGATGCAAACCGCATGGCCGGCGAACCAGCACGAACAATTGGTGAGCCAGTCCTCACCACGGGCGATCCAGCACGGACAATTGGCGAGGCAGCCCTCACAATGGGGGACCCAGCTCTCACACCTGGAGACCCGGCACGTACGATCGGCGACGCTGACCGGCTTCTAATCACAATCCCCGACCTCCTCACCAAGCCACCTGGACTCGGCGACACCCTTCCCTCATTAAAGGTAGGGTGCGAGGGGGGATCGAGTTTGTCCAACACCGGAGACGCGGGCGACGTCCCCGAGTCTGCGCTCGTATACGATGTATCTTCGGATGTAGGCGGGGTGCTGGTGATACCAACCAAAGGCCTTCCACCGTCCTTCCTGTCGTCCATATCCATGTCGTCGAGACCAAGGCCATCGACGTGTGAGACTTTGTCGACCCCCATAGCAAGCTCCATCTCAAGTGCCGAGAGGGATACTTCAGAGTGTCCTATGGAGAGGTTGGCAGGGTCCATAGAGTCGGCGGAGGTGATGGAGGTGAAGGAGAGGTCGGCAGGGTCAGTGATGCGGGGAAGGAGGAAGGGATCATGTGTGTGGTTTGAGCTGGCAGAAGTTGTATTTGATGCGGGGGTTGTATTGGCGGGATTTGAGGACGTAGCGCTCTTATCTGAAATGAAAGGATAAAACTTAAGTCAGCACAATATCCTCGGTGATTAAAAAATAAACAAAAAACTATATTCACCTCCGGTTCCAATCCCAAGGTCGAATTTAGGAATCAATCCATCTCTTCTCGCACCTTCTGCGCCCTCTCCACGCTTGGCAGCTTTGGCTGGGCTGGGTGATGGTGGTAGCATCCCCACATCTTTATCTACCTCCTCCCCACCCCTTGCCCTCCTACTCGACTCGCGCACTCTCTCAGCATGCGTTGAACGGCCGAGCGGGACCGCTGAGTCCTGTGTAGACAGTGCTGGGGAGGGATTGCTCGGAGGTGTGGACGGCTGGACTGCTTCTATTCCATCTCCATTTGCACTTGCGTTAAGAGTCGGGCGTGGAGAGCTGAACGCGACGGGGGCGACAGAAGGGATAGATGAAAGGGCAGGCGAAGAAGCCGAAGATGAGGAGGCAGAAGTGGAGCGTTGCTGATGAGCCATTGCGAGCCTCTCGAAATGGTGAGTCCGGCCATAGGGTACGCCGTCCACTGCGTCCAGATCCGGGGGAAGGGATGGGGAGTGGGATGGCGTTGCTGGTTCGTCTTGGACTTGCAGTTGGCGGGAGAAAGGTGACGCAGAAACAGAGGCGGAGTGGATCATTGAGTCAACTATACCAGTGATACTGTCGTCTCCCTCTCCAAGTTCGACTGACTCGAAGCTGTCTTCATGTATATCATGTTGGCTGAGCTCTTCTTCGAGCGTTTGGCCTTGGCGAGGTGGCTCTATTGAATCGTTGCTAGCATCGCCCGTACTGTCAACAATCGAATCAACCGAGTCGTTACCATAACCATCTTCCTCCTCTGCGTCCGATACAAATGGATCGTCCTCGCCTTCCTCGCAGTCGAATTCAAGCACGTCGCAACGTTCGTCGAAAGTAACAGTTTTGCGCCTCTGGCGTTTAAATGTGCCGTCTGCATTTGGCAAGTCACCAGCCGAGCGAGGACCGTGAAGGCGCTTGGAGACGAGCGAGGGGCGAGTAGGCGTGCCCGACCTAGTTGGAGACAAAATTATGCTCGTCACGCCGCTGTGCAAAGGAGTGGGAGGAGGATGGTCTGATTTTGGCGGGACGGATGGCGGCGGGTCTTCGTTTGAGGGTAAACGCCTGAAAGGACTCTTCGTGACTGGTTCTTTCGCGATGAGGCCTTGAAATCCCTTCGACTGGCGTCGCTCGCGCTTGTAGGCGAATGGACGTTCGTTCTCAGCTTGTTCGTGCATAGACGACGGGCGTGGTCTTTTCTCTCCACTAACGTGACGGGGAGTGATGGGGAAGGGGGACTGGGGTGGGACATTCTGTGAAGTGGACGTAGGCTGTGGTGGGGTGATGGTGGTTGAAGAGGAAGAGGAGGATGTTGATATTGATGGGCGTGAAGGAGTGGGGATCTGGGAACGAAAGGGTGATTTAGAGACAAGGTTGTTTGTCCTGAGATGCTTGTAGCTAGAAGATGACCGACGAGCGACGAGGGGAAAAGGCGGGCGCAATGGGGTGGCTCGCTTTGCGATTCTGAGAGGGGAGGTGTTGCCGCCGCTGCTGTTGCTTGTGGACGACATCGAGGAAGTGGTCGTCGTCGCTGTGGACGACGATGGCGAAGGTCTGGTAGTGGGCGCGTGCGACAACGACTGGGCGGGGTCCTTCTCGTTCATTAATGAGATTGTGGTCAGAGCGAAAAACCATTCAACAATGGACCCGTGGGAAACGTCAGTCAACGCGTACGATCACGTGACCGCGTGGCTCATCGGTTCACCGACTCGACTGATCGACAGCAACTACGTTGACAAGGGTAAAGGAATGCGGGATATATATGCGACAGGGAATTGACGTACGCCTTTACATAGTTATTCAAGGACTGGACTGAGCTCCCTCTGGTATGCATGTCCTGTTTTCCCATTTTCTTGACGGCTTGAAGTTCCTCTTTGCAGTCACACTACCAAATACTTGTATGACGCCACCGTGACCAAACGCCTGTCGATCTTGATTTTACACCATTCTAAGAAATTTTACTCAAGGTTATCTGAGAATGACAACTTGTTGTTCTCGCAACTTAGCTCTCGACATTCGCTGGCTTTCTGCATCAAGGTCACACAATTTGCGTCTCCAATATAATGAGTTATTGTAGCTTCAAATGCAGGCTGCTGTAACTGCTGTTGCAACACCATACATTCAAAGCTCTATTGAAAGTGCCATCATCCGAGCTTTGAGATGGATCTGAGATGTTTAAATTATTTGTAAATTTAACATGGGACGAAAACAAATTCATATAACACCCAAAATTCCTTGGCTGGTCGCGATACAACCTATTGTGGTGAGGAGCATCTCTTGCGTTCTAACACCATCAAACACAAACCCCCCTGAAGCTCCTTCCATGTCCTGGGGTGGAAACAATGTTGTAAAATGCCAAGAAACCGTTGAATGATCGCGATGCAACCTACTAGTAAACTCCACCTTTCCACCTTTCCTCTTCCTTCCTCTCTACTCATCACACCAGCTATACCAGCTTTTCTTCTAGCCATGGGTGAAAAAGATCCATAAAACACCAAGAAACTATCGATGGACCATGTCAATGGTACAACCTATCTGCGTAAAAAATCCCCTTTTCCCCCTCTCTGGACCATCGTCAAAAACAAACACCCTGAGCTTTCATAGCCTAGGACGTAAACAAATCCAGAAAATGTCAAGAACCAGTCAGTTGGTCGATGTACGACCTATTAGCGCACGAGAAAACACCTCTCCCTTCAAGCTTATCTAGCTTGCTGCCGTTATCTTGAGCGGCCATCTCTCCATCTATGCCGTTATCCTGGACAACCTGACCACCAGCATGAACCCGGTCCAAAGGCGTCTGTGGAGCGTATCATCGCGTGAAATAATCCCGTACATTGCTAGAGGAGCCCGAAAATAGTCTGTGCCTTTCGCTCTCATGATCGTAGGTGTCCAGTCTTGGAAGTATCATCTAGATCATCTATGGTGACATCTGTTTCAGACTTGGCTTCATATTCTGGTCTAATATCTAATAATTTGAGGGTGTTGAGGGAGAAAAATGGCGAATATTTGGCAGGTGGGCGTGTAACGAATTCCAGTAACGCAGTGATAGATAGTCAATTGGAAAATCAAAAGCGCATACACGGACTATATGCACCTTTTTGCTCCTGTTATTAACCCAAAAAAAAACAAAAGCAACTGCGACAGAAAGCTGCATCATGAAAACCGGTATTTGTCCATCGTGAGCATTACAGAATGTGATCCTAATCTACCCCAGCGTCTCAAAATGTAATGGTTATTAACAACGTCAGCACAGTGACGCTAGTAGCATAAACTAGGCATAGTCTTCAACACTCGGTCTCTAAGTAGTTTTGCATTGTTCATATTCTAGGGACAGATGTCACGGTGTTGTCGAAGCCAGCACGTACCGAGTCGCGGCGTAAAACCAATATGATGTCCAGTACAGGTGCAGGTGATGCGGGTACCGAAGGTGTAGATGGCATATGCCCTGCTTCCCTGACATTACCAGCGAGGCAGCTAGTATGATATACCTGCGCGGATAATTCTAGAGGACACGAGTCATGAGAAGCGCGATGTGGATTATCCGTGCATACGGACGATGGACGTTGCAGTAAGTAAGGATTCTGTAAGTAAGAATTGTCAGGTGTTTGCGTATTGAATGTCGAAGACAATGACATGTGGTAGGTAGCGGACTCGGAATGTTTATATCTGGTGAAGAGATGTCTTAAGATCTTATACATCACTGACATTATGTGCGGTACGAAAAGACATCTACACACCTATTTTCAGTAATTCCTGGCACAATTTTGTTATCATGGCGACTGGCGAAAAAGTTGATAACTAGACGGTAGTTCTTCTTTGCTCCTGCTGTGAACCCAAAAAATGCAAAGAACATCGCAGCATATAACACATAAGCCCATCGCGAGAACTGAAAAGCAGCAGCCTGTTGACCTGCTGCCTTCCAAGTAACAGCTTGCATCTGTACGATTTGGGAAACATTGGCATGCTCAGTGCCCCATCCAGGCCACTGACACTACGAGCAATTGCCAAAATAGCAAGTTGCAACAGTCTAACACCAGAGATGCAAATGGAAAACTTTCACCGGTGTGCTCCAAGATTGAACAAAGAATCAAAAGGTAAAAATATACATGTTTGGTCTTTATCTATTCTTCACTGCTAGTCTTTGTGGGATTGCATTTCCCTGTCGCACAAAGGGAAAGATAAGTGGCAGCTCTGGAACAGCCAAAATTATCTGCAACAGTCAAAGAATAGGCTTACTGTGATTATGATGTTACGGTCATATCCTAGAACGGGATGGTTTGGCTCATCCCATAAAGGAATAGTTATGCGATATTAGACCCATTGTTTACCTTTTCACTCCCAATTATGGTCCGGAGCATAGCCATAGTAGGCTTTCAGTCAGCGCTGTGCTTTTGGTATGTCGCACCAAGTGATTTCGGCGAATGCTCGTAGTGTGAGTGATGGGAATTTGGGTCGCACTGACCAAGCTCCATAAGCTCAGAGCTAAAGAGCATACCGTCATCGTGATTGTCATTGACAGCAGGCGTTGAAAATATTTTCCACGTCGTTGGGTGAGGTTTGTGGAGCATACTCTCTGTTGCATCAATGTCCGAACAATGATGCCTATTATAGCGTCAGATTCAAGATGCCCGAAGCTTAAAGATGCCCCATTTACATCGTCACTCACCTGTGTAGACAGCAATAACAAGCGCCATTGTGAAGTTCCACACGCGAAGCAATGGATAAACGAGAACCGTATCATATACGGCATAGAAGCAGCCTATATCCTCCAAAATATAAAAGCGCTTGTACTGAACAACATATGCTATACAGCACAAAGTAAGCAATGTAATCTCGATATTTGCAGGTACCACCTACACAAGATAATGTACAAGACTGGGATCCCTATTACAATAAAATAATCACACAAGATTACTCGCCAATGCTACTAATCGGTGAGAATGAAGAACTCAAGAAAAATAATGTTTCACTTGACATACCCTATGTTCACTTTGACTTGGCCAAACCGTAGTTACATTGCTAGTGACATGATACAGATGGCGGGCAGTGTATAAGCACGCTGACAATATGCCAATGGGCCCACCTATCATTAACCTAGAGGCTAAAAGGGTCTTAGAAACGATAGCTACTCAACATAAGATGCACGAACATATATCACACCACACGGGTGCCCAATCGGTGACGTTGTTATCCCATATGATCGAATTCACAAACCCGTTGAAACAGAGCAAACCCGTCCATACGATGAAAGCACATGTACCAATATTTTTCGCTGCCCCATAAAAAGCATCAGCCTACTCCAGAGGAATAGATAAATATTTACTCGCCTTTGACATGATGTGGCAGAAGCATAGTGACTAGTGTAAACCCAATGAAAGCAAAACCAGAAAAAATGTGGTTTGCAGAAGCCATATTCTGGTGGAAAGCTCTTGAAACGCGGGATGCTTGTCTCTGACTCCAAAGCGAAAACAGGGCGATACGAGCTTCTTCATTTACGCACCCTATTTTATAGTATCACTGTGGGAACACATTTTGTCAACATCAGGATCTAACAGACAGATTAAAGCAATGAGGCCTTCCTGCTGGGATCTTCACCGGGGGACAGCTTTACCATCGGCCATCACGGTAGCGCCTAGCATCCGAATCTATATTCCAGTGTGTCAAACATGATGGTCAACAGCTTAAGGGTTTCAACAACGGGAACCCAACATAAACTTCCGCACTTGTCATTTCAAAGCACAAGAACAGATCCCGGTTGACCATAACTTTGATTTGAATTCGTTTATTTGACGCGCTCTAGGGCGTACACAGCGAGACTATTATGAAGCCCAAAGTCTACATCTGCTGAATGGCGGCGCAGAGCCGATCTGATGTCCAAGACAGGTGTGGGTTGCACAGGTATCGATAACAAAGTCGGCATATACTCCGCCCCTCTGTCTTCAGCAGTACCGTATGTGGCCTAATTTGGTTCTGATTCTATAATAGACTTGACATCCTCTTCGGATAGTTCATGAGGGTACGAGCCAGGGAACATACACTGTAAATCGTCGAGAGATATGCTTGATGGGCACGGTGGTAGGTGTGGACAGCCAGGTACTTGTGTGGCAGAAGTTGAAAGTGCGGGTAAGCGGCGGTCAGCAGAGGACTCAATTCTGGGTAATTGATCATGGCCATTCGATTAGCCATATTGATCTAGAAGTGAGAAGTATTATACAAACCTAGTCTCCTGGGTGCCCTTGACTAGCAAACCCACAGCAAGACGATAGTGATTCTTCGCTCCTGCAGTGAAACCGAAGAATGCGAAGAAAATGGCGGCATACATCACATAGGCCCACCGCGTGAACTGCAAAACAGCAACGCTCTGAGACCCCGATGCCTGCCAAGTATTGGCTGTGATTTGCACAATTTCAGAGATATTGGCGTGCTCAAACTCCCAGCTTCGCCAAGAATAAATGGGATTGTTGGCTATATCGCTCACGAGCAACCACAAGCTTGGCGGAAACGAGCACATGAATATCATGATGACCAGCGCCAACAGACGCCGAACATGCTCATGCCGCTGGATGAGTTCTTTGAAGCGGGATCTTCGCTGTATCAATGTGCGAACAGTGGCACCTAGAGTTATGTGGGTTTAAGAGCTAGGATATGAACATAGTATGCTCACCTGCATAAATGACAGTAATAAGAGCTATAAGAGTTAGCCAGACCCAAATCAAAGGGTACGTTAGTACAGTAGAGCCTATGGCGTAATAACAGCCTATTTCCTCGAATATGTAAAAGCGATTTACTTGAATGACGTAGGCTGTGGAGAAGTAAGCACCAAGGAAATTATACTCGACCAGTAAACATAACGTACAAAAGATGACAATTAGCGCTGGAATTCCTAGTACAAGTAGATAGTCAAACAGAATGGCTTGCCATGCCTATTTTTTGATAAGAAGGAAGAATCGGTAAAGTAGAAAATACACGTACCCGACATTGGCCTTGAACTCGCTGATTCGCAAATATATTTTTGGTAACATGATATAGATGACGAGCAATACATAGACACGCTGACGGGATGGCGATGGTCCCACCTAACATTAATCGGGATGCTACCAGAATATTAGATGAGATGATTCCTTTGACAAGCCAAGAGCACGAACATATATCGCACCACACAGGTGCCCAGTTAGTCACATTCTTATCCCATATGATTGAATTCACGAAGCCGTTAAAACAAAGAACGCCTGTCCATACGATGAAAGCACATGTACCAATATTTCCAGCTGAATAACAGTATATCAGAAAAAACTCAGAAAATAATACCGGGAATGCGCCCTAACCTTTTATATGGAGTGGTAGAAGAGTGCTGACAATGATAAACCCGATGAATGCAAACCCAGAGAAAACGTGATTTGTAGACACCATCTTTCGGGTTCAATTAGTAACGACTCCTGAAGTGATGATAAAGGAAACAAATAAACGCTACTACATAAACCTCTTTATACCACAAGTTATTGCAAAAACCGCTCCTTGCGCATCTGATGATATCAGTACCTGTCGAAGAATCAAAGATGTATTTTCACCGAAGGACTGCGGCAGAGAAATGGCAAAGATGCCGTGGTATTGAGCAGTGTTACACAGCAGACTTTCATGTGCCAATTTCTATCAGCGTATTGGAATGACTTGATGAACAATCATACGAGGTTCATAATTTGGGATTGTGTCAACAGGACCTTCACATAGAAGGAGCTTGAGACGAAAATATATTCCGGAATAATTGGTGCGTGCGAAATTCGATTATTTAAACCGAGAAAACACAGGAATTGAACAGCACACTTGCAAAAATAAATTAGCCAGCGATCAGAAAGAAAAGGTCGAATTGATGAGTGCTTTTATAGCTGGCTCATACCAGGGACACTGAACAAAGGAACTGCACGCTTCATAGGAAAGTGGCAGTGTCCTCGACGTTAAGATTAGTATCTACAAGGCTGTATGACCCCCATCCAATAAATGCAAAATACAAAGAAGATTCAGACTACATGGCACTGGGATACAAGCTGAGGAATACGCTTACTGGCTGGGTGGTATTACTGTAAACAAGGGGCCTTATATTTGTAGCTCCTTGGTACAGTCTCATCGATCTACCATCGGAAAGTACACGCCAGCACACATGCCAACTGACCAAAACACCACTGGGCCTTTGGGATGCTGGACGAATCGCCGAAACCCATGTTTCCAGAACAAACCGTGATACGCCCTCCCTGAAATACCGCCGAGACCAATATCGAAGCGAAGGCAGTTCAACAAAGTAAGAATACATTGTTCTTTTCCACAGACAAACATGGTCCTATAGATCATCTCTTTTCACAGTCCTTGCGGTCAGTACCTCCACCCCCGTTTCCGTAATCCTGAAAACAATAAAATATCAAAAAGGCAGTACATACACTCGGGGATGAAAAAGCTTACAATAGTGTGTCCTCAAATTGCGCACTTCTCTTACCATCAATGGTCGTAGCTGTCCACGAGTCATTCCAGTGAGCAACGTCCCAGTTGGGACCCAAATTGATCATCTATCAATGTGCCGGAAAGAACTTGGGATCAATATCATAACTGAGTAGTGCCCATGCTTACAGGTTCGATAGTAAATGCCTGGTTAGGTCGCTAATTAGCGCTGCTTGAATTAAATGCTGCTCGTGCAACTCACCATACCAGTCCTCATTGTGCCCACGGCCTTATTCTTTGAATAATGCGGTATGTCCGGAGCAGGGTGAAACAGATCATTGATTCCGTGACCAGTGTAAGACCGTACAGAGGAACATCCATTCGCTCTTGCAATAGGTTCACTGATGATTAAAGTCAGCACAGTAACGGCCGTTAATTAAAAGCATTAGTACTAGCATGATTTTACCAATATCGCGGAATAATGCCCCCGGTTTACAGATTTTTATGGCTTCATCAAGACATTCACGGGTGACCTTGATGAGCTTTGCGGACTCAGTATCGACCTTTCCAACGGGGTAAGTTTCGTTAAGGTCCCCATGAAAACCTGCGTCTGTGTCAGAAACGGTGATGCAGCAGGTAAAACTAATTCGCCAGGTTACCGTCATAATAAAGAGTCACGTCTAACGAGCAGAACCATTTATTTAAGTACAAATATATCAGGGACACGATGTTATCCTACCGATATTGATTATATCGCCCTCCTTCAATTTTCGTTGGTCAGGAATACCATGACAGACGACCTCGTTCACCGACCTGGTATCATCCAAGGTTCAAAAGATTCTGGATAAAAAAGGGCTCAACACTCACGTGCACACAGATTTTGGGAAATTTCGATAGTTGAGGGGGGAAGGATATGCGTTTCTTGCTATGATTGCTTCGTGGACGATAGCATCAATGGCATCAGTAGTGACACCAGGATGTACGTGAGAAGCAGCAATGTCAAGAACTTCTCGTGTAAGCTAGAAAGAGAAGAGTTCATTAGCCGGATGAACATTCACTACAGGCCAGCTGTAACAGCAAGCACAGTCAAAAAAAACTCGGAAATATTCTAACTGCCTATGTCCCATCGAAATCATGAACAGTTTACCCACCCGACATACGGTTCGTAATTTATCTTGTTCCTCAATGGACAAAATCCGTGGCGGTTGACCTCTCTGTTTAATTTCTGATTTGGGCACTCCTGAAGGTAAATGAGAACAGGCGTGTTGGTTCAGAACTCTTGTGGCGGCGGCGGTTTGAAAATGAATAGGCTCCTACCATCTTCAGCATAGTCAGGCCTGGGTATGTGATCAGGTACCGTACGCATTGGCGAAAGTGGGTATACCGGTCTCATTGATCCAGTATAATCGTAATTAAAATAAGGGTTATAAGTCCCATCTAGCAAGTATGTGAGCATACTGCGACAGCAAGATGATGAAAAGGTTTGAATGCCTTTTGCAGGGGCGTCAGCAGTGGGAGGTGCACGTGCAAGATCATGGATGAACTTGTGTGATTTCTATACATTTGACACACATGCCTGTATTAATGACTTAAACGACATGGCGAAGAAAATGATATACCCCTGTTTGATATTGATCAGAGCATTGTCCTTCCTTCATGCATCAAAAACGAACGTACAATTCGCCTTGAAGCACTCTTGTTCGCAGAAGAACGAACCTCTGATACCAAGCCTGCCGTGATGAAGCATCAATTAGGATATGAAGATCGATACGAGACAGCTGCACACTTATTGCATGTTGGACATTCCATCCGCGATGGTGGGTTTCCATTTGGACAGTTTGAGTTCTGGCACGCAACAGTTGCACTCATGATTATTATGACTGGCTAGTTGACTTCAATAGAAAATATTCGAATGGCACGTGGTCTACGAATATTTCTCTCACGTGTCCTGCGGAGCGGACTAATAAGTTTGGGCCTTGCAATCAACATCGTGATGGCCTACAATGAAGTGAATTTCCGGGCCAGGGTGCAGCTTGTAGCTTGAAGGCGCTCCAGTCACATTGTGCACTCACCTCGTGGACAGTAATGACTATTTCGATTACAAAACCTTATTTTCCACAACATGAATAGACCTGATTGAATAAAGAGAGTGGCATGGGGGGCAATGGATTGACGAGAATCGTTTCATATATTGTACCACCAACTTATCGAATCAGATAGATGAGCGAGACTTCCCGCCGGCATCCTCGCAGAGGATAGTCTTTATTTCATGCGACTCAGTACTCAGCCATGGCAGAATTTGCATTCATTGGAATATATTACAGTATTTCAAATACGATGATCATCATCTTGATTTTAAGATAGGCTCAGAACGCGAACCAGCCATATGATTCTATAATGGTCTTCACTAGGCTCGAAGCAAAGGGATGCACCCAAGTGACCCGTAAAAACACTCAGCAGGCTAAACATCTGCTGAGTGGCGGTGCAGAATCGACATGATATCCAGGACGGGTGAGGGTTGGACAGGTATCGATGGTAAAGTCGGCATATGCTCTTCTCCCCTGTCTTCACTACTTCTGCAGGTGACATGATCTGGCCTCAATTCCAGATTAGACTTGAATTCCTGCTCAGAGAGTTCATGAATGCACGAATCACGAGATCTAGAGATGCGTTGCAGATCATCAAGAGATATGGCTGATAGGTACGGTGGCAAGTAGAGACGACCCGACGTCCGTCTAGCAGATGCTGAAAGTGCGGGTATGCGGCAGCTAGCAGCGCGCTCCATCCTGGATAGACGTAGGTGAATATAGTTGTTAGTGACCGGCGACATCGCTTAAGCTAAACGCTATACAGACCTCATATCCTCCACGCACGAAGCTCCCGAGTCACTACGATGGCGGAAGAAGGCGAAAACAAGACGATAATGCCTCTTCGCACCTGTAGTGAACCCAAAAAATGCAAAGAAAATGACGGCGTATATCACAAAAGCCCATCTAAAGACCTGTAAGGTAGCATTCTGAGCTCCTAAATCAAGAATGGTGAATTGTTCAACGTGAGAAATATTAGCATGCATTGAGCCCCAGCCAGGCCATGGCAATGCTGGATTTTGGGTAACATCATTCACGATATTCCATATACTTGGCGTGAACGAGCATACAGGTATTACGATGACCACTGCTAATAGACGCAGAAACTGATCATCATGTTGCATGAAGGCCTTGAATCGTGCTCTTCGTTGAATTAGTTTCCGAACAGTGGCACCTAGAGGTCCGTTTGGTTTGGCAGCGTTAGACGTAGTCATACACAGTACTCACATACGTAGAGGGCAACAATAATGCCAATGACTCCTGGCCATACCGTAAACAGCGGATAAGTGAGCGGAGTGTTTTCTAAAGCATAGAAGCACCCTGCATCCTCCATGATGTAAAAGCGATTAAATTGAATTGTATAGGCTGTGGGATTCTGAGTAACAAGTATGTCGACACCAACAGAACCACTTACAAAGGACGATGCGCAAGACTGGGATTCCTAGTACGAAAAAATAATCGCGCAGAATGGCTCGCCAAAGCCGCTGGTTGGTGGTGAGAAACTAAGCAACTAAACTGAAACTACCGCATGACTTACCTTGTGTTCACCCTGTGCTCTCCGATGTGAGATTACATTACTGGTGACATGATAAAGATCGCGAGCTATGCATAAGCACGCTGACTGTATGCCAATGCCTCCACCTATCATCAGCCGCGAGGCTGTCAAAATATTCAGAGGGATATTTGCTTGCACTAAAATGGACGAACATATATCACACCACACAGGTGCCCAATTCGTGACGTTATCATTCCATACGATTGAGTTTACGAATCCATTAAAGCAAAGTAGGCTTGCCCATATGATAAAAGCGGATGTGCCAATATTCCTTGCTGTATCAAAGCACGTTAGGTCCCCCGTCCCCAATGAAGATACAGATGAGTATTTGCGAACCTTTTATATGAAGTGGTAGGAGTATGTCCATCAAGATAAACCCGGTGAATGCAAATACAGAGAAAATATGATTGGTGGATACCATTTTGTCTAGAAGGCCTGAGTTTTGACTAACCCACGAAACGACGAGAGGTATATTCTACTGCAAAGAGCATCTCTTTTATACCGTCAATTGGTAGAGGGCCGCTCCATGGGCTTCTTGACGTATGATGTTATCAGGATCTATCGCAGTGACTGAACAGCGCCATGTATAAACACATCAGGTTTCAAGCGCCATTTATGATTGGGTTTCTTTTATCACGGCGATGAGCAGTGATTCTGAGATGCGCAATTCATGCTCATATTGAAAGAACTTCCGCATGTGGGCCGTTATGGGAGACGGAGGAAAGACTCTAAGGGATGCCATGCACTTACTACGACCGCAAAAGTCTGAGCGGTCGAAAGTCTCGAATACAGCAGTTCAGCAGCGGAGAGGGAATATTGAATAAGGAGAGTTCTACCCACTTGCGCTGTTAAATTTTTATCATACCGAATAGCCTGGTACTATGTCCGAGAATTGATGTAACTGTCAAACCGTTCTGATTATGGGAAGCTTTCCATCGCCTATAGAAGAATGAGCTTAAATGAGCGCCATTGAAGATGACTCTACCTTCATCATGGAGTAAGCTGGATGTTGGAGCTGTCATCCATCAACCAAACGGTATTTTATTTTCTCCGAGACAGAAAGACTCCGAAACCGAAGGGCTATGCCGCAAAGTAAGCACATTACTGGCTTTCCTCGTAGGTAGCGCTACTTATGCAACACCGTGACGTGCTCTGTCAATTGCCAATCTAGAAGGGTTACAAGAGCCAGACAAGAGTGAGGTGTACCTTCGATGAGCTCCCGGCGGCTTCGCCACAGATGGGAACTGTACATCATGCCTTAAGTCAGTGAATCAGTTTGGTCCACCTACATCACTCACACCGCCAAAGACAGGCGTTAATTGCATTGTGGAGTTTGATCAACAATTATATGTGAATTGTAGAACTTGGATTACACAGTGGACAACACTGGCCGCAGTGCAGTGCAGAAATGTGTTGCAATCGAAGATGAGTAAGATGAGTGATTTTGGTGCATAGAGGAACTTTTAAGTACCTAAAACAAGTCCGGCACATGCCAACCGTGTCTACGAACAGGCTATGAGTAGTAGGAACGAGGTTTAATTACTGCACCACGAAAATGACAGAAGGGAAATCTGCAGCCTGATCATGGTGTTGTCACTGTGTATGTTTGTCTCGGACACTCGCTAACTCGGAATTATTCCAGCAGATTCCAGCGCAGGCCGAGAATGTACAGCCTTACGTTATTGAAACTCCGATGGCCCCACATATAAGCGCCACCCGTTATCGCAGTCGTCGTTCAACACCTTTGTTTCCATCCACGACTAGACCACCTAAATTCTCAATCAATGTGAGGTTATATTTATTGGAATGCCTTGATTCCAGTTTACTAACTATCACTAGTATCATGCAGATCTTTGTTAAGACTCTTACCGGCAAGACCATCACCCTCGAGGTTGAGTCCTCCGACACCATCGACAACGTAAAGGCTAAAATCCAAGACAAGGAAGGGTACGCCATTATTTCGACTTTCAGTTTATTCTTTCTTACGTCACATTTTCAGTATCCCTCCCGACCAGCAGCGTCTCATCTTTGCCGGCAAACAATTGGAGGATGGTCGCACCTTGTCGGATTATAACATCCAGAAGGAGTCTACCCTTCATCTGGTGCTGCGTCTTCGTGGAGGAATGCAGATTTTTGTCAAGACTTTGACTGGGAAGACCATCACCCTTGAAGTGGAATCATCTGACACCATCGATAACGTGAAGGCAAAGATTCAGGACAAAGAGGGTATTCCCCCTGATCAACAACGACTTATCTTTGCGGGAAAGCAGCTTGAGGATGGTCGCACTCTGTCTGATTATAACATTCAGAAGGAGTCCACTCTTCACCTTGGTACGTTGTGGAATTATTGAATCCGTACAGAACCACAGCTAATAATTGCCTGCAGTGTTGCGTTTACGTGGTGGAATGCAAATCTTCGTGAAGACTTTGACTGGAAAGACAATCACTCTTGAGGTGGAGTCTTCAGACACCATCGACAACGTCAAGGCGAAAATTCAAGACAAGGAGGGAATTCCTCCCGATCAACAACGATTGATTTTTGCTGGAAAGCAATTGGAGGATGGTCGTACATTGTCAGACTATAACATTCAGAAGGAGTCTACCCTTCACTTGGTCTTGCGTCTTCGTGGTGGTATGCAGATCTTCGTGAAGACATTGACAGGGAAGACGATAACGTTGGAAGTGGAGTCGTCAGACACCATCGACAATGTGAAGGCTAAGATCCAGGATAAGGAGGGTATCCCACCTGACCAGCAGCGATTGATCTTTGCCGGTAAACAGTTGGAGGACGGTCGGACGCTTTCCGACTACAACATCCAGAAAGAAAGCACTCTCCACCTTGGTAAGATCCATGATGTATACATTACTCGATGAAGCTAATTTCTTTTATGCAGTTCTTCGTCTGCGTGGTGGTAACTAAGTCTTCAAATGTCACTGCATGAGTCCATACCTTTCCTGTGTTATCATTTTACACATTGTATTTGTCGTAGCCTGAAATAACCATTGTTGTACACCAAATTGCGTGATTGATAATACGTTACAGGTTTGAAGAATGGGCAGTTGACAAGTTCGTCATTGTCATTGTATATACCTACGTTGTAACATTGTCATATGAGGGCAGCAGCAGCGCGAAGGTTGCAGTATGTGGAAGGATCAGTTTGCGTTTGTCATTGGGGATGAGAGATTTAATTCGAAAGCTCTACTTGTGGCTAAGTTTGCAGTAGTGATATATTATATTGGTGACGACATGAAAATCCATACAAAAATCAAAAATCCTCTAAAATATATCAAGCGCCCTCTAGGTTGTAACAATATCCTTCCAAGGGAAGGTATAAGGACGATGACATCAGAGAAGCACAAAAATTAGCAAAGAGAAACAACATCCTTCAAGTTCGAGGAAAAGCAATTGACGCGATATCAAGAAGAATAAGGATCGATTATGGTCGACCCATGAACATGCTCCTTCTCCTAGCCTTCTCCAGTGGTGCTAAATCATTATCCTTCAGAGGCATCGCTGTGAAAGAGTTATAACCATGTATAAGAAAGCAAAACGGGAATACCGCGGTAGGGAGTTACATACAAGGTGAGGTGCTTTCCATCGATAGGTCTGCTTGGTCACCATCGTCTCTGTCTTGTTCAGAGGAAGCTGGAGCTCGACCGAAGTCGTCTTCCATAGGGGACATGTGTTTTGGCAACATGGATCGTCGGCGCTGAGATACCAGGAAGTTGGACGTCAACGTCGGTAGAAACAGACGAGTTGGGGGTATGAGCACTGACCTTGTTCGTACCAGCCACGTTAATACCATCAAGATCTACCTTGTACTTTTCTTCATCTATGCGCGATCTCTGCTCTACACACTCTACGACCCACGCAATACCCACTACATGAGGTTTTGGGTCATTCAAAAGCCTGAAATTGTGAGACAATGAGATGAACAAGTTTGCCTTTTCGAAGTAGAATATATGGCTTACCGATAACGAGTCAAGGTGCTCATCAGCCCGTTCTTATATACAATATGTGTACAACTTTGTCCAACTCTCGTTAGAATCTGGAGGGAATATCAGTCTCAAACAATTCTAACGAAGTTATCTTATACTCACTCGTGCACCTAATCCTCTGAGCATGTCAGTGAACAAACCACCTGCACTATCTCCATCGTCTGTCCGTACATCAACGAATATTGTACAATTCTTCAGCACCTTCAGCGAGCCTTTCTTGCCACCACTACCTTCAACCTCGCTTGGACTATTCTGATCTGTACCCGCATTATCACTCGCACCTCTGGTAAGTACTCCTGATGCGTTCTTTGGAGCATCCAAAACTTCCTTTTCTTTACCCTTACCCTTGGCAACGGTTCCCTGTGTTCCAGTCGGATAACTGCTACTTGCAGATCGCAAACCGGTCCGGGTGGGCACACGCGTTGGAGGTGGAGGTGTTTCAGGCAGCGAAGACAAAGACTGCGAGAGTGCTTGGGAAGCCATCGTCGCTCTTTGAGAAGCATTTATTCTCCACTCAGTGCTGCGTTTTTCTTTCTCCTTGCTCGTTCCTTTATCATCCTCGACTCCGTCCATGTCTTCGACGGGTTTCTCGACTTCTCCGGAGGTGTTGATGTCAACTACTAAATCCGTTATGCGAAGAGGGATATAGCTCGAAGTACCAGTTCCACTCCCCTGTGCCGCCGCTGCCTCGTCGCTGCCCGTACTAGCAAAATCAAACGAGCCAGCCCCCTTCACCGGGCTGGCTTCCACGCTTGGTAAACTCGTCTTCCGACTAGCCTTCGGCGCGATTTTAGAAGCGCCGATACCTATACTGTTGAATATTCCCGTGCCCATTCGACCGCTACCAGCCCCAAAGATCTTGGCAGCCTTCGGACTTGGCTTTCCATCCTTGCCCTTCATGCGCCCGATAATACTGGTGGCTATAGTTGGCTTTCGGACTTCAGCAGAACGAACAGCAGCGTCGCCAAAAGGAGGGAAAATGGATGAAATAGGCTGAGCCTGCGCGTTTGGGCCAGAGCTGAAATCAGTCCCTGTTGTTGCAGCCCGCTTCAATGGGGGATGCCGTGTTTGAAGACTACCGTGGTTTATCATACTATCGTCTTTAGCTGCGCTTGGTCTCTCCTCCTCACTCTCCTCATCTTCTGCTGTCGAGCGATTGAAACCGAGACTTGTATTTGGCCTACTCGGCGGCGGTAGATTTAGCTTTTCTAACGCACTGGATAGAGTTTTGAGTGATTTCTTGGATCCCGAAAAGCTACCCAAAATATCAAAGGAGGAAGAAGTCAGTCGGCTGGACGTCGTCCCTGTCGTCGATCTTCCCGTAGATACGTCGTTCGAAGATGACCATTTCTTGGAAATCTTGGTGGGTGAACTTATCCTTGGAAGAAGACTTGGTTTTACCGGTGAGGACGGTCTGGACTTAGTGGGTGAACTGGGTTTCGAGGTAGAAGTAGTAACAGCAGCCTTGGTGGTTGATGTACTTGGTTGTTTGGCTGACCATAGAGATAAGAGTGAAGGTTGTTTCATCTTCCCATTTGACGTCTTATCTGAGAGTGAGGAGGATTTCTTATGTCCCATCCTTCCAGCTGAAAGATTGAAGGGGAACTTTAGAATACGAAGACGACTAAAGAAGGGTAGTTTAAAGAAAACTTACCTCCATGTGGCGGTTTTGACGTTGCAGAGGTTGACCCAGTGGCTTCTAATAGTTCGTTAATTAGTACATGAAGACCGGATATTGTGATTCATACATACCTGCGTCCTTGGACGATGCTGCCTTACCAGGGATCATCGCCTTGGACTCGACACTTTCTGCGACAGTGCTCCGCAGAGAGTCGTGGCCCAGGTGGGATACTTTACCCTGTTGCTTCAAAGATAAACTTCTAGTAATGCGCCCATTTGGTTTTTGCGCTGGGACAGGCTTCTTTCCTTTCGTAGCCGCATTGACAGTTGCAGAGCGAACCCTGTTAGCAGGGACAGGTGGTGGAAGCATTGACCCAGATGGGCGAGGCAGTCGACTAGCGGGAGCTACGACAGGTGTGGCAGCAGACGCAAGAGCATCTGTATGTCTGTCTGCAGTGAGTTCCTCGCCGGTGTCAACCGCCGCAGCGCGAAAAAGGTGATTGAGTGAACGAGCCAACTGCGAAGGTAGCTAAATACAACCCCCATCAGATGCACTGAAGTAGCAGATAAGTAGGACGTTAATTGCAACTCACGTCAGGAATAGCAAGGGTTTCTTCAACATCTGGTGTGACGATTGAGGAAGGCGTGGAAGGAAGAGGTGTGAGAGGAGATAGTGGTGACGAAAAAGCAGAGCTACACCCCACTCTTGGAGTTTCTACGACATTCATCATGGCGGGAGAAAGTTTGACAGTACGTTCTGCGGTATCCGGGATGGCAGCTAAATGAGACATATCGACATCCATACCTGCATCGATGGCATTGGTATCACTCTTGTCGATGGGCGATGATAAATCAACGCTAACATCAGGGATGACGTCTAGATGCGGTGTCGGTGCAATGTGAAGCTTTCCTGGTGATCGAGATGGAGAGGCAACAACAGTTTTCAAATCCAAGTGAGGAACACCCGATTCCAAGGGAACAGATTGAGCTCTTGGTGGAAAGACAGATGAACCGGTCTTTTCGCTCCCTTTAACCGCCGCGGACGACGAGACGGGTTTCTTTGACGTCGTGGCAGTTCGGTTGGCGTGACGTTTAGACCTGCGTGTTTTCTGATTTGATTGAGTGGATGAACCCTCATTCTCCGTATCTACATCTGCATCTTTAGAGACAAGCCTGAGTGCCGGGAGAGGGTCCCTCCTGACCCTTTTGGACTCGCGGTGTCCATGAACATCTTCGGGGAATGTAGACTGTGATCGTTTGTGTTTAGTCGGGGAAAGTAATATTTCATCGTCTGTTTCATCCTGGTTATCCATGGATGATACTGAGTTCTGGTTTCGGAGAGCGACTCGTGCGTCCTTTAAAGGAGACCGGTAAAGAGGTAGTTGCAGAATACGATCTGAGACGGTTAGCTGAGACCTCGTACGCTTTGGTGCTTCAAAAGACATAAGACTTGAAAGACAAAGCTAGAATCAACACCGCCTGCGACGTTGAATACGGTGGATGCACTGCAGGCCAGGCTATTATGTCGAGGTCGCTGTCGATGAATGCCAGGCCTGCTGTTAGACGCGTACAAACACGGTCACGTTGACGAAAAGCAAACAATCATAAACAGCGCGATGCCAGTCACGGGACAAGGCTTTCTCCCATTTTAACAAAAAAACAACAGCAATCGCAAGGTGAGTGTTTTGAAGTTGATCTGATACCTTAATTGTACTCAAAGGCTCTGACAGCATAATAATCCAATGTACTCGCATCTAGAATTATCGACCCCCTCTTCTCGGTTTTAATACACATTTATAGCTCAAGCTCTTAGCGCCCACGACCACTCATATCCAATCGCAGGGTACTCGGTATATACGTATATACCTAATGTTTTCCTCAAGAAACTTCCTTACTGCGATAGGGGCAGGAGAACCAGCTTCGAGCGCCGTAACCACGGCATGACCGTGACACGGAAAGGCGCTCATCTACGGGACACGATAAAAGCACCTTCGTCTGACATGGTCTCTCAGATTCTCCACCCTATACACTCTCAGCATGCCTTTCTTCCAGAATGCTACGGGTACCACTGCAAATAATAGCAACTTCAGTGATATCAACGGCACTGGTCATGTCATCACTATCAATAACGACAACTCTCAGCGTAGTAACTATGGAAATACCACTTCTACGCACAACACAGACTCTTACAATGACTCTTCCACCAAGCAGACTATGAGTAAGCTCCCTGTTACTCATTTCACCTATGTTAACTAAGCGGCTTATTTATGTAGCGGGGGGAGGGCAGCAGACTGTTAACCGTCCTTAGGGCACTCCCGGTTTATGTCTTTGGTGCTAACTGTGGGCAAGCTTTTTGTATCGTATTGTATCTCTGACATGTTTAACTTATTACAGTGACCACCTGAAGATTTTTGCAAATCTTATGTCTACGTTGACTTGGAACTTAATTTTGTGTGAAGATGTTTGTTTCTCTAGTCCGTCATAATTGTAATATGTGAATTATGCCTATGGTACTTTTTCCCGGCGTACCCTGAATGTTTGATTCATGAGGTTGCTGGCGAGTGATCTACCCACTATATTAGTAACCTGACAACACTGCGGGTGCATATTTACTTATCGAAACAAAAAGTACAAGTGTTCCGGATTCAGATTGTTACAAGGTCCCTTCGACCACGACTAAACACGTGTAGTTTTAGCAATGTTTCTCGTGACGCTAAAATGGTCGTCTGTTTGAAATCTTCGCAGAAATAATTCTTCTATTTCTTCCGATACCCTTTTCCATGCATGTTCATTTAATGATCAATCGTACTGGATCTTATCATGTTCAGTGAGCGATTCGTACCAATGCCCTTTTCCATGGATGTTCGTTCAATGATCAATCGTACGCGTACTGGATCTTATCATGTTCAGCAAGCGTTTCATAATAGCTCTTTCAGCGATCTGAGCTAAGGCGGTACCAGTATCCTCGCCATACACAGCCCACGGTGTCGCGGTACTCGCCGAGGATCCAAAAATGATTAAGGGGCCTTACACCTACTTATGGTACACGGCCAAGAACCAGTGCCAATCTGAGTGGTGAAGGCAGTGTGGAGCTTTTATCAGAGTCCGTTGGTATAGTGGGAACGATCATCGATCATACTGGTATCCTTTCCTGCCAATCTCGTTTATAGGTTTAGTAACGCCCATCTGCCTCATGGCCTCAATGAAGCGCTCGTCTGCGACATATAGACTCCCTTTCCACTGCACCATCCCTCAACCATCCGATATCCCTGGCATCTCAAATCTCGTTTAGCCGTCGACCTCGTCATATAACACGATGCCTTTCTTCCCCGCTGCACAAAACGTCAATGCCAGTCATAGCACGTTCAATGACATACACGGCGGGACGCAGATCAACAACATCACCAACGACAACTCCTACAGAAATAATTCTGGGAACACCAACATCACCAATAACACCAATTCACATAATAACTCTTCCATTACCCAGACTAGTAAGTTTCTGTGCTTCCCGATTGTCCTGAATGTACTCGCCAAAACTGAACACTTTGAAAATCAGTGACAGGTAATGGGACACAGAATGCGAATCAGGCAAGCCAAAAGCAAACATGATGAAATGGACACTTCGAGGGTGAGAAGATTATCATGCTCGAGGTATTGCAATGGCTGACAGTCTCTCCATAGGACCCTCATGGATCGCTGCACCTTGTGTTGAATTTGTACGGTCCTGTTGATATTCCAAGAAAAAGAACTTGCTCATCGCCTTTTCCAGTGTAACAAATGTGATACTCTCAAGGATGGCTGTATTAGTTCTGTCTATGTATACCGTGATCAATCTCCACTTAGTAGTGTCGAGAAACACTGTCACTGAATGATATGTATTCGCGGAGATCGTGTGATTTATTGAGCCTGACTCGGAGACATGGGCTGGTGTCAAATTCCTTAAGTGATTCGGTCAATCTTACTAACGCCGTCTTTCTATCTAATTATTCAGTATTTCTAGGTTTCCAGGTCTGAATTAAAAACGATCGTGTCTCTTCAAGGGATATACGAACTGCGACAACAAAATATCAAGTTGTGAATGCAGGATTTTGGATGCAACTATATTCCGATGACAACCTGTACATTTTTGCCTTGACTGCATGAATGATTCATTCGAGAAGGAGGATGCTTATGAATGTGATAGCAAACGCATATCAGGTGGGTAGTCATAAGCTGTCCAATCAAGTTCTTGGACAGAAACCGGCACGGTGCCCTAAACAGGGATGAAAGGTCTTTGGCGCTAACCAGGAATATCTAGCCGAGTCATACGGGTCCAGGATAAAGCTCAAGCGCCAGAAATATCGTTGTTGGTTCAAAAGTTCTATACTGATGCTAAAGCAACGCTTATACCATAATTGTAGTTATCCCTCCTAGAAGCAGGTTAGTTTCGCAGATGGCCGCCATCGTTCACATCTAAAAGGGACTTATTCATATGTGATCCAAGTTGGAAAAATCAGCCCCCCAGGATGGCCACACTCGTTATCATCCCCTTCTTGATCAAGCACAGAAGTGTATCAAGTAGTCGATTGGCTCCGCTTGAACAGGGGTATATGTCAGTCAGCAGGGCACATTTAGAACCAGGGAGCTGGCATTCCATCTCATTCGTATTCTAGCCCTTCTTCGCGCACACAATCGATGGTTGGTCCGCTCATCCGGTGACTGCAGTACATAAAGCCAACTTTGCAGCATGATACGTCCCACACAACACCTTTGTTCCCCTTTACACGCCCTAGCTGTTCAATATGCCTTTCACTCAACACGGTCAGAATGCTAATGCAAAAATCGCAACATACAACGATGTTGCTGGCGACCAAACCAACAACAACAAAACGGACAACTCTGTCCACACAAATTCTGGTAATACTACTACTGTGAACAACAACAACTCCGGAAACAACTCTTCCGTCACCCAGACTATGAGTTAGTAGTACTCCGATGATCATGGCAATGTCTTGACTAACCAAATATGATGTCGCATCAGGAGGAAGTGGGCGTCAAACAGTGCGTCGCTGAAAGACGATATATGATATGATCTGAAACCGTCGAGGTACGCGTTCGATTTTATAGCAGCAGGACGTTTTGTTTGATGTGATAATACTTCCTCGTGCAGAGCCATGGAATAAGACTACCAGTGGTTATTTGTCTACTGTCGCAGCTAGGAATGGTGGTTGTATTTGTATGGTTGAATTTGCCTGGCAATTGTAAAGTTTATCGCGTTGAAATCTTAAAATGTACAGTATCCTTGAGAGATATCAGAGTTTTGTGCTTCAAGTTGTTCTGGTTTGTAGTCTCGACTTAAAAAGCCCCTATAAGTATCTACTTACATCATGTGATATTGTGAGTCTGTCACAGGCCGTGATGATATGGCAAAGTCACACGGTAGTCGTTATCGGTTGCAACTCGTGGTCACTGGCAGCGTTTTTAGATGGAGAGATGTTCAAAGTTTCGCACCCAACATTGCAGTCAGCATCACATCATCCGCGCTTGCAGATATCATTCAACCATTGATAACACGGCGCTAAGAACTGTGGGGCCTGGTTTTCTAGAAAATTCAAGCGCTAGATTAGCTCCCCCCTTCACTTGGCCGTCGTCAAAAGCATCAGAATCTTGACATCAAACTCGTGTATGGAAACAACTACATAACACCCGATTGTATTGCCCACAACCTACTTTGTGTGTCCTCGTGGAACATCTTATGGAACGTACGGAACGCGTTGACCAGCCTTGGACAGAATGAAAGGACGCCAGCTCCAAGGCCTAAGAATAAATGGGCTATGCCTTATGCAAATGTCGTAAATGCTTGTTCTTCACAAGATGTCTAAGGATTGTGCACTGATTTTTCAAATACAATAGAAGCAGCTCAAAATAGCGATGCGGTCTAGCCAGGCATCCCGGAATTTTCCATCGCCTTTTTTCCAACGTAACGCAGCACAATCATCGCATTGTATTCTGACAAGTCTTTCATACCAAATGCTATGTGCAGTACATGGAAAGGACAGTTATTCGGTGGACCGCCGCGGTTATATTGAAACCTTATTTTGTCGCTAGGCTGTCAACCCATAGTCATCTACTTGTCTGGCGCCGGTAAACAGTCGCCCCCCGATCAGATCCTGTACAACATAAAAGCTTCAAGTCGATGGTGGTCACTGTCAGACAATACTGTCGTTTATCAGTCCATTAAACCTCTCTCACCATGCCATTTATCCAATACGGAGACCACGCCGAAGCTCATATTAAAACATACAACGACGTTGCCGGTGATCAGAACAACAAAACTGACACAAACAACTCTTATCAGAACAACGTTGGGAACACTACCACGACAGGGAATATAGATTCGAATAACGATTCCTCCGTCACGCAGATAACAAGTAAGCGCTCTTTTTTAATTTTCGTTTGACGTTGTACTGAATGAAATCTTAATTCACCAGTAGATGACAATTAGTATGCGGTGTGCCATAAATAAACTTGTCCCTGTGCGTTGAGAAACCCATATTATTAGTAGGTATGTTGTCATTATTGGTTTTCGCGTCTCTTCTGTACTGAAGGGTATTGGTACGTATACAGCACGGCGTGTGTAGGCGGAGATTGTGCATGCCTATTCGATCCTGGTTCCTTGCAATATCAACCCAATTGATTGGTCTGGTTTTCATATAGTCGCTACTCGGGTGCCCCTATCATAGACGCTCTCGGTGCTTGTGTACCAGAAATGTGAGAGTTATTTATGATAGATATCTTCTTTCTGCTCCTCTGCACTCTGGCTGCGGACTCCTGAAGTGGGTAAAGAACAATAATTCCCATAGTTATCGGGCGTTTCATCCATAAGTATATCCGTGTCCATACTCACCCAAGTTATCGATATCTCACGGCCTGCGTTGAGTCTTTCTCTTTAGTGAATTGGGGTATCTGTGCTTACTCTTCTTTTATCGTATCTGATCCTTTCCGACGTTGATATCTATCTTTAGGCACTCATGAAGTGATCATCGATTATCACTGGTCTGGTGATTAGCCTTCTGATGGAGAATCCTGATTAAATTGTTAGCCTTTCAGGCTCCAACGCTGGCTGAACAGTGGTCACCCTATTATGTTGTACTGTACACTGACAACAACTCAGACTCGATGGATGCCTGAACATTTTGAATTTTCGAATTAGCCGAACATCTTATTGTACTTTATTGAGGCATTGGTGTGTTTCGTCGTTCCTAATCCTTATTCTGAGGTTTGGCGATACTACAATACTTTCCTTGTTTATAGGCTCGCCTTGACGACGGGTGCTAATGAGGCTTAAGACGCGATGCCAAAGAACTCTCCTATCTAACATTCCATTGTGTCCGCATAAGAACAATAGGCCTGTCTCTTACAGCAAATTACAGACGCCATCCTCCTCTTAAACGCGCTGATTTTCTTTTGTTGTCAGGATCCATCCATCAAAGTTTCCCTTAGAAAGGATTTTGTCACACTGACTATGCCCTTCACCCAACACGGTCAACAAGCCAGTGCCAAAATTGACACCTACAACGACGTTGGTGGACAGCAATCTAACACGACCAGCACTGATAATTCTCGGAAAGACAATGTCGGGAACACTACTACTACGACTAATACAAACTCGAACAACAACTCTTCTGTCACGCAAACAAGTAAATTTTGCACTCAATGCACATTCTCGCTATATTCATCAAAATTTCAGCCGAGGCCGGTCGCAGCTGATATTACTATTACTTGCAGACCCCCTCCCCCGATCTTCCTTGAACTAAGGGGTGAGAGGTAAAGGTAAAGTCCAACAGTTGCTATACTTTGATACTCACTGGCTTATTCTCTCAACATATTTCAGAATACTCAGCTAGCGTTCTTAGAATTTTTGAGACTATGCAGAGATATTTGAAAGAAAATTATCAGGTTAACTTCCTGAATAGTAATATTATCAGAAGTACCCTTTGAATGGTGCCGTTTGGTGGGCTTCTGCCGTGGAGGTTGTCATTGTATGACTATGTTTCTTGCTTCTCCGTTTGTAGAAAAAGGAGCTGTGGTACTTCGGGGAACTATCTCTTCAATATATTTTCCTTTCCTCGATCTACTACAACGCATACCATTTACAGAAATTCCCTTATTTGGAAAGCACTCATTTGACTGCCACAGTTGCCGGCGGTTTCGACTTGGACGATGACTATCTTTTGCTCTTCCTCCAATGTTAAGTCTGCTAACGAGCAGAAGCTTATTCATATGCTCGGCAAAACAACCCTCAAACTGATACGCCTGACTTGGCGTAGACACCCTATGTCAAAGATGAGCTGGCATTTGGGACTTGCGTCCTCTAAGATACTTGTATCATGATATGCCACGAAAATCTCTGATCGACTGCTTTATCAGTCCACACTCTCCCTGGTAAGGGTAAGTCCATATCAGCTTTTTTTTTTATCCACTCCGGGTCCAGTTCTCTAACAGGCGAACACGACCGTGATGTTGGCAGCTACCATTCAAGTCTCACTTAAATTTAAACAGCATCGCCCTCCGGGCACCCCTGGCACCGACAACGATATTGAAGTGGACATGTGAGCTCGAATCAAAGTGACATGAATTGCATTGACAAGATTCAGTCGTCTGCTAAGGCACTGACGTCACATGATCACCTGTGACTTTCTTGTATATATCTAATGGCACGCATAAAACCTTATTTATGTCTTAAAAAATTGCACAGAAAGTTTTGCAGCTTGATTCCGCCCATCTCTGTCCCAGCCGATTGTCAGAAATATGCGATGTGCAGTTGCCATTAAGAAAATGGAGTCGGACACAGTGTCACAACAAGCATGGATTTGAGTGTGTCACAGGTTGTCACAGATCACGTGGTGTGTGAGCCCTACCTTAAAGTGCAAGTATTGGCGTGCGAAACATACAGTCATAAAGAAATACTCGGTGCGAACAACTGGTGCCATTTCCAGTGTCGAATTGTGAATGTGAGACCTGGTAACCTACGGTACCAGGAACTTGCGCCATCTGCTCAGGTATACACATTGCTTCTTGCCTATAAGAGTTCTCTCTCTCTCTCTTCTTTTCTAGGCGTTGGATCCTACAAAACAGCAAAACACTCATCCTAGAGATCTCCTCACCCTGGACATTTCCCGCCCACTATGCTTGTTGACTCGGACATGCCCTTTCACACCGTCGTGCTCTGCGAAAACAGTCATAACTCAGGCTACTAGCTTGGACTATCACTCATCTAAGCTGGCAAAAGAGCTTCGTCAATACTCCAAGCTTCCTGTTCAGCGGAACAAAAATTACAGTAAAATATCAAGAAACCGCCTGCTGGCGCTGAAAAGACAAATAAGCTTGGCTTGTTCAGTTTGTTTTGTTATTCGTCTTCTGTGAGAGTAACTGGTTATGTTTCTTTTGGTTCTGACTGGTTCTGCTTCCAGCCTATTTCTAAAGGATGCCGGAGAAATAAAAATAAAAACATTCCTTGGCAAATTTTTGATCCCTTAGCCCGAGGGTGAAAACAAACTTATAAAACAGCAAAAAATCATCAAGAAGTTCTCGTACGACCTATTGGCATGAAAGGCAGTATCTTCTCTCTCTCTCTCATTCTAAAAAACAAGCCCTCAGAACTTCTTTTCATCTACGAAAGCGAATCCAAAATATCACAAATACGTCGACTGGACCTATTGGCGCAAGAAACTCTATGCTCTCTCTCAGCTATTATCACACACGACCCCCACAACTCTTTACCCACGAGATGAAAACAATACGAGGAAACCGTTGAGTTGTCGTTATACGACCTTTGGTGTTGAAAATGTCATATAGCCCTCTATACCCTGTCTCTTTGTTCAAGCTTGATTGGCCTGTTTGTTTTTAACGAGCACTATTGAAATCAGATACCCTAGGCCAAAGACTTAGTTCCCAAGAAAATGTCGATTAATTGTGATGTGATCCATTGGCGTTGAGCAAATCATTCTCCCCGCAGAAATACCGTCAAAACAAAATACCCCGAGCTCCCTACTTAGCCCAGGATGAAAACAGAGTAAGGAGGCGGTCGACGGATTGTGCTACAGCTAGCTGGCCTGTCGACATAGAACAAAACAAGCCTTTCTCCCTCTGTCAAGAACACGAAATAACCTAAGCCTCTTATATCTCGGCCCTCATTCCTAGCTGATGAGTGCATATGTAAGCCACCCACTTGGTGTGCTAAACTGGTATTTCCAGCCTCTGGACCGACAGAACAAGAAACGAGTTGGTAGGTCTCGATTTTGACTCTTCTGAATATGCCATCGGAGGGATTACTTTATGAGTATTCTTCCTTTCATTTCATTCGCCTCGTACTTTTTGTCTTTCCTATGGCTATTTTTAAGCAACAGATGAACAAAACACCCTCAACAATTCGCAGCTGTACCATTTACATCGAGGAATTGAAGGTCAAATTGTTAAAGTAGCAGGCAGTCCAATGTCTCCGATAGACACTGCAAATGACACTTGATAACAGATTTTATAAGAGCAAACTTCGTTCAACTACTTTCTTATGATTCGTAGAAATCAAAACAGTATTGGGATTGGTGCAAACAATTTATTAGAGTAGCACATAGAGAACGAACGATATACAGCGACGGATAATACGAAAGAACGGTCTGGCCTTTAAACCAAGAGTATGAATTGCAGATCAACCTGTGGGAGATAAAGTTTATCAGCATCATGTAAAACGAAAACGATACACAGAAAAGTCAGTATTAGCATGGAAACTCATCAACACTTGTTCAAAAACAAGGTCAGGGCTTGACTTCTATTTTGTTCGATCATTCAAATAAGAAAGGAAACAACATTTACCTATCATACACGACACACACGAAGGCACTCAGAATCTGTGATGAAAGACATAAAGGTCAATAAAAGTCGAGAAACATGAAAGAATCGAGATCAGAAATTTGGGTATATAGAAAACATTCATGAGCTCGATGAGCTTCGAAGTAGCGATTCATTTTTTCTCGTCACATCGAAAAGGGTAGTGAAAAAAATTAGAACAAAACTCACTAGAGTTGCCTTCAGGCTTCAAATCAAAGGGACGAACGAGGCTGAGGAAGACCAAAGACTATTTTCTCGTGGGCTTTATGGTGCGATTTAGGTCATGTGACCTCAAGCTTAGGGCAGGTCCCACTTACCTCACTTTAGGCTTGCCGTACTGACACGAATTATCTTGCAAATTATCATCACCGGGCAGTGGAAAGAGTAAAGGTATCACCGGCTGTATTTGTCTGGCTGTATCGATTATACAATGGTTAAGACTTTGCTTAGGAATTTACGTATTTTCACCCTTGCAGCTCGTGAGTTTTGGAAAAGGTATATCATATATTTTAATCTACACAGAATTGTAAATGCTGATGATGGCACATGCTATAGTTGAATATACATTGAATCAAGATGCAGCAGGAACCAATGAACCTTGCTGCTATAATCAATAACTGGATAATGCTTACCCCTATGCTGCTACGACAAACTCCAAAACATACGCCTCAGCCAAATCCCAGACCTTCTCGAGTTTGAGTCCTGCCGAATCACTATACACACACGATCTATTGAGAAAAGGAGATGCAAGGAAATCTTAGATAAACAAACTTACGCAAGCTCCAGTGAATCTCTCAGCGTACGCTCCTTCGCATTGTGCAGCAAGAGCATAGTCATGTCTTGTTGGTACATCCGCATGTTACCCACACCGAAGTTAGGTAGCATCGGCTCTGGTGCCTGTTTACGAAGACGGTTAGTTTGAACAAAGTTCTGTACTTGAATTGGAATGACTGACGATTGTTGCGCCAAGTGTTTCTGCCTCTACTTCTGCTTGTTTGCGACTGAGTTGACGAAGTACATAGTCATCTAGTTGACAGGCGACAGATCATGGTAAGCTGAGTGAGTGCCACAGGTAGGTCAGATAAGATCGACTTACGGACGAGCAGTCTACTATGGGGTCCCATCGCTTGCCGTACGTTACGAAGAATAAGTGCAGCTTCATTGTCTGGCCAGTCGTGGATGATGTTTCTTAGCTGCAGCACGAGAAGTGTTATTTGGGGCACACGAACGGATGAGCGGACCAACTTACGTAGTAGATCTCCTTTCCTTTTACAGGTGCTTCTTCGAAAAAGTTAAGAGGCAAGAAATCGACTCTATTTTCAGCTACAGCTTCTGGACAGTCTCTAGCCCAGGTCTAAAAGGTAAGAATAATGATAAGCAATTTGCACGATTCGGATTGAGATCTGCACGCACAGTTCGTGATTGTACAAGTGCCTCTGGAAGATCGTGGATAGTGATATTGACATGCTTGTGAGTTTTTGCCAAGGGTAAAGAGAAGGCACCGATACCACCACCAACATCGACGACTGTGGAAAATTTCTCGAATGGGTATTCTACAAAAATAGATAAGCTTTGATATACAGCCATTCGAATGTGAATGTGTGAATTGCTCACGCGTAAGGACAGCGAGAGAACCCATGATGCCGTTTAAGCCCCTCATCGACGTGTGATAGCTCTAAATAAGAATTTCGATACTAGAGTGATGGGACAATCTACGAGGCAACTTACCACTCGTCTGTCATCCTGAAATCAGCATGTGAGTTGTTGATGGTGAGAAAAGAGAACCGAATAATGCGCACATCCATTCTCATCCAATCGAAGAACGTGCCTTCGATACCCAGAGGTTTTATCGCATGCATGATAGGAGCTGCCGAAGGTTCGTACGAGTATGCATATCCGGGCTCTTTCAAGGTTTCATAGTAGACACCAGCGCCTTTAGCGCACGCCTCTACGTGAAGACTGATCATGTGTCTGACCGGGTTCGAGCTGTTGAGGATGAGGGACAATCGGTTGTTGGCGAAGACATCCGTGTCGACTACACAGCGACGAACATCAGCGCGATGGACGGTGCAAGAATGCGAGTGTAGGTATGCGAAATTGGGAACGTACCCTCAGTGAAGCACCCCCTGGTTGAAAGGAGACGCAGCATACGCGATAGCTTGAGTGGGTCGACGTCGATGATCTTCGAGAGATCATTGACGTGAATACCCTTCGGGTAGTCAACGAGAATATCAGAGATATTCTCCCGGAGCACGACGCGTATGCATGCATAGTCATATACTTGTACAAGCTGCATCAAAAAGTCAACATTCCATCATGACATTCTGCAAGAAGACAGTACGCAGTGTTGAGGCGGGGCTTACATTAATCGCCGTATGGGATGGAGGCGCTAGTGTTGAGCATATCTGTCCGCATGCACCTTCTAGTGTTCGTATGGCCATCTTTAGTGCCACAGTATCCATGGCGTTATCCAGTGGGTGCGGGCCTGTCGAGTCAATGGAAGGCACTTCCATCCCGTCCTGCTCGTACAGCGCCATGGCCTCTTGCGCTGCCCCGTTGGCGAGCTTCAACAGCGCCTCGATCTTAGCTCTACCAGACATATTCGACATGTCGACCAAGGTTAGGTTTCACTGCTAGTGTTACTGTGGATCAAAGTGAGGAGAGAGCGAGAAAAGGGGAGGGATATCACGAGGTCCCCGCAGGCCAAACGTCCCTGGTACTTATAACCTACAGCTCATGATGTAAACATTATAGTTACCGGTGAATGGCGTGTTTCGCTGAGGAAATTCCAGATAACGCATAACGTGGGTTTTCGATCTTGCTCAGACATGATCTTTGAGCGAAACCGGGGATACAATTCTTTGCTGACGAGGAAATGGGGTATACTTCCTCGGTAATAATTCTTCATTCTGATGACAGTTCACCGAAGCGTTCACACGGCCGGGTATCCAGCTATATAAGCCTTCGGGCGACCCATTGGTTGCACCTATGATATCTAAGCTACTAATCAATTGATATCCCCAGTGTTGATACGACAAGTGAGAGAAATAAGAACTTACGAGGTAAATTACAAGCGCGGGTGCTTTCGTGAGCTCCTTCTTCACTCGACGCCTGAGAAACTATTCGAGATAAGATAAAGTACGTGGTTATAAAGGTGTCGAGTTTTTGAATCAGGCACTACTAAAAGGTTGATAGCGATTGTGATTGTTACGATGCAGCGGCATGATAGAATGGGGGTAGTTTATCTGATATGCGATTTCCGTTCTTTGCTCGAGGAATGACCTGGAGTGCAGGGACAACATATTATTGATATCGCCTCGTCGTTGAGCTGAAAGCGATGTCAATGGCTGAGCAAGGATGAAGACTACCCGCGGGCGGGAACAATAAGCTGCGTTCTCACCTTTCCTTTTCTTACCACTTCGAGGCAATATGACAACACCTGATTACTTATGCCACTGGGCTGACACCAGTGTAAGTACTAGTCGCACTGCATACGACATTCTCGGGTTGGTCTTATACTTGCAAAGAACACTGTTTGATCTCGATGCTCGAGTCTACACCGGATTTGAGTGCTAACGTAGAGCTAGGCAACTCTCCGCGTATCGCATGGAGAAGTCGGGTTTGTGTCAGTGTGGTGTTTGAGTGGAGGGAAGACGCTCAGAAAAGGAATATGTTTCTCTCTTTTTCTTCTCTATTATTTTTCAAATCCCACTTACCACGCTCCTCAATGAAATGTCGGGTCCAAAGCTCCCACCGAGGTGTGGCGTAGAGTGAAAGAAACATACAACGTATTGGCGATACGGTTTGTTTGGACTTTCAGCAGAGCATCATTAGTCATGGACCACTCGTCATTCTGTAAGGCTCATTTGATTCAAGTTTCCCCACATAGGTCTCCCAAGCCTCCCAAGCCCCTCCGAGGTTTTAAGCGGCATTCCAGTGCGATTGAAGACATGCAGGTATCAGCTAGTGTGAGAAAACCTTCAGTGATGGATGTCTATTGATGGATATATAAACAAATGTTCATGTTTGGAGGCTTCTGGTATCCCTCGGACTCGGACTCGTTTGAGAAGCGAGGGCGTGTGTTGCTCTGTGTTGCTGTGTGAAGATCAGGAACGAAAGCGTGCAGTCGCTGCTCGGTGAGGCTTCGAGAGAGAGAAAAGACCGAGAAGGATGATGTGGAGAAGGGAGTGGGACTTGAATGGACGTTGATCTGATTATAGGCGCCTAACGAAGTTGGGGGGACCGAATGTTCATAATTATAGACTGAAATGGAGAGCAAACAAACTGTGGCTGCGGAATGAGCTTGAAATCAGTCTCCCCTCCCGGGCATACCATTTAGTATATAGCATCTAGCTTGAAATGCAAATTCAAAGGGGGTATTTTGAATGAAAAAGGTAAGTGACTGCGGCTCTAACTCTACACACCAGCCAGCCCGAGCGCGTCGGTATGGCTTGTCATGTTACAGTTGATTTGTCCATACCGTAACTGTGCGCCTTTACCGAGGCTGCGAGTTGAGTCTGCGACAGATGAGATGAAAGTATTTGAAAGATGCTGAGGTGGTGCGATGTGACCGCATCAGCGGGCCAGCGCAGCAGCTACAGCAGTGACGATATCGACGGAGAATGGGTTATCAAGCCTGAATGACACCATCATCCAAGTAGCACTCGTCACGGTATTCTAGAGTCGGTGGACTAGGCTCGGCTCGTACGAATATACCAATGCATTGATAGATACTGAGAGGGGAAAAGAACTCGGGGTGAACTTGGAAATACAACTGAAAGGACAACTTCGAAAAAAAGGATGATAATGCATCGACTTGCAAAACGTTAATGTCCAGCGTTCGAATCTTCCACATTGGCCAAGGCTGGGGAAATGGGCGTATTTTTTTTCTTCGTTTTGTAGACTTTTTGAACTTTCAGGTTGCAAGGAACACTGTGCACTGACGACGTCATCCAAGGCAACGCCTGTCCTGACACCGAATAATTCTGGGGCTCTGTGGGCCATTGTGCTTTGCTCAGCAGCAATATCCTGGGAAGCATAGGTTTAGCAGGTTTACGAGTAGTTTGTACACCGGCGAAAAGAGAGCCAGGCCTCGCGAGAGCTTTCGAAATGGGGTGGTCATATTCCTATGATCGCTGAGTGATGCATCAACACTGGCAGAGCGGTTGACAACTGTGTGTCAGGGCGTCAGTGTATTGCTTTGGGTATTGTGAGCATCGGCCGGAGGAAAAGCAGGATGGAGGTGAGGGATGAGGAGTGAACAGACGAGAGAGAGCTAGCCCAACGTCAAGTGATTTGAAGACAATACTTCAACAACTCTTGCCTAGCAGTGAAGCTGACGTCTGTGTCTCCGAACCATGATAACGTTGCAAATAGATGATATAAAATTGTCGTAAGTGGGATAATGCGACCTTCTCGTCCATGTCTTCCTGTTCCACTATGCAGTGTTTGAAGGGCTTAGGGTCTCGAGGTTTCGGTCAGTCTACCGTGGCTCATGGTCTATGTCGCTGGAATAACCTGAATAACCTGAGAGCTTGATATTTGTCCTTTTCTACCTTCGTTACCGTCCTTCTTGAGTGTCTTCAAAGTGCAAAAGCTCACCAGGGCTTATGGGAGAGTATACATGGCTGTAGAGTAGTGCACTCCTTCGCTGAGATGCAAAATAAAGTGTGGGGGGGAAAGGCGACGGACTGGCAAGTTGAACGGGGTTGAATGACTCGTTCTGTCGTCTCTTAACGTTTAGAGAGTGCTTTTGAAAGGTACGACACCTTACGAGGTATCCATGGCCAACTTCGGGGGGCATGCACACCGTAGAGAATAGACCATAGACCGTAACATTGTATAGACAATGGCAAGACCCACGATCGTCGACGATGAAACGTATATCGCTATAACCCATGGCGCCTATCGTCATATCGTGGCCACTGGCCGTTATGCCTGTCAGCTCATCGGGTATGTGTGATCATCTAGGTAGGTAGAAGTAACATATGTGTCGGTACATGTTCGTCGACTGAACGACCCTCCTGAGGCTCCTGATGAGCATGCGTGCTCGAAACTTCAAGATTCCAGCTTTGTATTAAGTCGTCAGCTGGCGGGGTGATTTGGATGCTGTTGAATCGATCATCGTAGTGAGGAGGGTGTTTTCGTACGGTATGGTGGACGGCTAGTGGGTGGAATCGTTGGGGAACCGTTTGACTCACCCATGTTCTTTTCTTCTTTTGCTTTCATTTGTTTCGTTCTCTTGTCTGACCAGACCTAGTAGGAGAATGAGAGAAAAACATTGGTCTCCGAACTTGGACTCTTGGAAGAAAAGCGACGAACTCAAAAAACAAGGTTCGAATAACTTGAACGCGAGCACCTCATCCGAGTCCCAAGGTGTCGCTTTGACGGATACCTTCATCGAAGGGCTTCTCAAGTTGTCGTTTTCCTCTAGTGAGTCAATGCATTAAAATGGCGTTTGACGCGCCCGCCAGCGTGATCATGATGAAGCTTGTACTTATACAGTGCACTGGCAGCAGGATATATAAAGTTCTCGGACGCGTCGTTGAGGGAGTGACAGGAGGCTCGATGATACGATTGTGTAAGTAGCCCAAGTGGATGGGAAAAGGCCAAGTCGTAAGGGTGGTGGTCGCGTCAGTGAAATCCGCAATGCTATTCCCATTCACCATACGTTAATCTCAGAGCACTCGTAATAGACGCGAGTACATCCTGGGCGCTATGGCCAACGTGGTAGAAGTCTGCAGCACGACCTAGGGCGCTTATATCCTTTTTGTCCATTCCCCATGCAACTACTACTCGGTCCTACGTCTTTGACCGTCGCCGAAGCTTGCAGACACTACCGTCATCTACAAGGACTTGTCCTAGTTTCTCGATGTCTGCTCACGCTGTCGACGTTCAAGGTGCAATGGCACAAGCCCCATACGTCGATGCGCAGCGCAGCACGTTCAATGACATCAGTGGTGGTCGCCAAATCAATCTTGGGCCCATTACAATTAACCAGCACAGCGAGGATAGTGGTCAGTGTCATTTCATTGCATATTATCCAGTAGCATTTGACGCATTCGAGAAGAAGAAAAAGCTGAGGCGCAACGAAAGCTCGCTGACTGGCTCACTCCTCTGAATTTTCGTCAAAAACAAAGCGAGGTCTACGGAAAACGACGAGAGGGGACTGGAGATTGGGTACTTGATGACGAAAGATTCAAGGAGTGGCAAGCTGGCGACAAAAGAACGCTGTGGTGTAGTGGGATTCGTAAGTGCTTACTATCCTAAAGATCGACATTCATGTTGCTGATACTGAGTCTGGCAGCTGGTGCTGGGAAAACGGTTCTTGCGTAAGCTTTGTGGTGAAACACTAGAAATCTATATATTAATCAACTCCTATACTCCTAGATCGTATATCGTCAATCATCTCACTAACAAGTGCAAGGACTCCAATCTCGCTGTGGCCTACATCTATTGTGACTACAAAGACCAGTCAGCCCAAACGGTCTATGGTCTCGTCGCAAGTATCTTAAAGCAGTTCGTTCAAGATTTCTTGCCAACATTTAAACGTGTCAATGATCAATACCGACTTCATCAGCACAAAGACTTCCGGCCAACTCTCAATGAACTTCACGATACGCTAATTTCGGAGATCAAGCATTTCTCAAAAGTTTTTGTCGTTGTTGACGCTTTAGATGAAATTACGGAAAGAGGTAGTAAGCGTTATGAACTGCTTAGTAGGCTACAAGCCCTTGGATGTAATCTACTGGTGACCTCGCGTGAAATCCAGGCGATAAGGGAAGCTCTTTGTGATGTCTCGAGCATGTACGTTCGTGCACATAAAGACGATATCCGCAAGTACATCGAAGGTCATATTCTCCCAGGATCAACTTTGGCTAGGCTCATTGCTGGAGATCCTCCTCTGAGAGAAGAGATTATCAAAGGTATAACAACATGCGCAGACGGCATGTGAGTGCTTTTTAAATCTGTCCTGAAAAAATATTGAACTTTAAGACCGGATAAGGTTTCTACTATGTCGTCTACATATAGGGTTGTTGGAAACCAAAGTGACTCGTACAGATGTTCGCAACAATCTCAAAAAGCTGTCCACCTCGGTGGACAGTGTCTACAAGGAAATAATGGAGCGGATCGATGGACTGGATGACGATTCCCGGGAACTTGCCTTGACTGTCATCATGTGGATAACCTTTGCCTTCCGACCACTGACTGACAAGGAACTCCAACATGCTGTAACGGTTTCACGTGGCCATCTTGGAATCACTCGTGATGAGCTCGTGGATATAACAGCCATATTAGGGCTTTGTGCTGGTTTAGTCGTGGTGGATGCAGGTTCTGATGTTCGCCTGATTCGTGAGTATTTTCGCTATCCTTTTAGTACCGGCTACGTCTGATCGCCTTTTATTAGACTACACTGCACAGGAGTACTTCAGCAAATATAAAAAATGGTTGTGCTCGGATCCTCACTCAGAACTTACCAACGTTTCCCTGAAAGTTTTGACAACACCACCACTGTTACCACGGCCTAAGCTTCCACGTGTGACCAGAATGCTATGGCTGTTCCGTGGGGCATTGAGCGATTATGCGGCGGAAAACTGGGGATATCATGCACAGGGTTCTGCTGAGGAGACGAATCAGGCCATAATACAAGAATTTCTCAGTTGTGAAGAGAGAGTCAACTGGGCCGCACAACGCACGAGTCACGATTTGTACTCTTACCCTGATCCAGGCTCCGTGCTGCATCTGTGTGCTTTTTTTGGCTTAGCTCGAACCATTGACTTTCAGATACAAAATGGCGCGGCTTTAGTCCAATTCATCCAAAGTTCACCGCTACATATTGCAGTACAGGAGGCACATGCAAAGACGGTGAGTTTACTACTCGACCGAGGCCACGACGTCAATTCGCAAGATGAAGAAGGTCAAACACCACTTTCATTGGCAGCCATGGCAGGGAATACTGAGATTGTCGAGCTGTTGCTCGCAAGGGATGATGTGAAGGCCGACTGCCGAGATGCGTGGGGTCAGACACCACTCTTGTTGGCAACCCAAGCACGCAACGCCAAGATTGTCAGGCTGTTGCTCGCAAGGGATGATGTGGACGCCGACTCCAAAGATGAAAGTGGTCAGACACTGCTCTCACTGGCAGGACAAGTAGGGGACACTGAGATTTTCAAGCTGTTGCTTGCAAGGGATTGTGCGAAGGCTGACTCCAAAGACGACAATGGTCAGACACCGCTCTCATTGGCTGCCGAAGCAGGGAACACCGGAGTTGTCAAGCTTTTGCTCGCAAGGGATGATGTGGAGGCTGACTCCAAAGATGAGTGGGGTCAAACACCACTCTTGTTGGCAACCCAAGCATGGAGCACGAAGATCGTCAGGCTGTTGCTCGCAAGGGATGATGTGAAGGCCGATTCCCGAGGTGCGTGGGGTCAGACACCACTCTCATTGGCAGCCCGAGCAGGGAGCACCGAGATTGTCAGGCTGTTGCTCGCAAGGGATGATGTGGAGGCCGACTCCAAAGATGAAAATGGTTGGACACCACTCTCGTTGGCAGCCCAAGCAGGGAACACCGAGATTATCGATCTGTTGCTCGCAAGGGATGTGGAGGCTGACTCCAAAACACGAGACCGTCAGACGCCTCTCTCATTGGCGGCCCAAGCGGGAAATACCGCGATTGTCAAGCTGTTGCTCGCAAGAGATGACGTTCGGGCTGACTCCAAAACGAAAGACGGTGAGACGCCGCTCTGGTTGGCGATCAAAGCGGGGCATACCGAGATTGTCGAGCTGTTGCTGGAAAAGCGTGGCGTTAAGGCCGACTCCCGAAATCTGTTGGGTCAGACACCACTCTTGTTGGCGACCGAAGCAGGAAACACCAAGATTGTCGAGCTATTGCTAACACGGGGTGGCGTCGAGACCAACTCTCAAGATATATGGGGTCAAACACCACTTTTGATTGCAGTCGAAACAGGGAAGACCGAGATTGTCGAGCTGCTGCTCGCAAGGAATGATGTGAAAGCCGACTCCAAAGATACATATGGCCGGACACCGCTTTCATTAGCTGCCGGGATGTCCAAGAAACACTTTTGGTTGGCTATATACGTCGACAACGATAACGATGATATCGAAGACGATGACATCCGGAAATATCCAAAGCCTAATTATGCGATTGTGGAGTTACTGCTTGCGAGAGATGATGTCGATGTCAATTGGAGAGACGAACATGGTCAGACACTTCTGTTCAGAGCAGCAAAAGACGGAGTGACTCCCCTTCTAGAGCAGCTCCTTTCCCGGAAAGATATCAATGTGAACCTGCCAGGCGAGCACGGAGACTCGCCCCTGCACTGTGCGGTGCGCTCTGGACATCAACATGTGACGTCTTTACTTCTTTCACATCATGCCATTGAGCCCAACTTGAAAAACGCCAAGGGACAGACACCACTTCACTGTACGGTTGTGGGCACAGACCCCGAAAAGAACCCACCCAACTATAGGCCTATGGGCAGGCAGGAGGTTATTGCAGGCCTTCTTCTTGCGCACCGAAACATTCGTGTTGACTTGGAGGACGATAATGGATCGACGGCGTTGATGCTTGCTCGTTCGCTCTCGGCTGTACCCATAGTGAAGCTCCTTGAAGTATATGCAATGAAGAGCGGGGCCAAGTGGATGAACAAAGCTCCGTTGATGGGCACGATGATGGTTGGCCATCAGACAATACGTAGAGGACATACTGCCAAACCTTCACTATGTCGGATACCATGCATAACAACGGTGCCATCCCGCGCGCATGCCAATGATCGAGGTATGTATGCCTACCCTTGATACGGTTCACTTTTACCTTTTCCCGTCTACTGACGATCATATCCATCACTTTAGACATTTCTCATAACCCGTCCGAATTGTCTTCCTCCTGCATCATCCACGACGACCACCCGCCTTCACCTGACTGATGACTTCGTTCCCTGACGTGTCGATGTTACTTTACCGGCCGCGGTCTGTTTCTTCTTGTTCGACTTCACCACGTCTACCCACGACTGTAGAACGATCACCTTGGCGCCTTTCAGGAAAGGGCGTGTGAGGTGTTGTAAGGGGGGTTGTGTTGTATGATTGTACCTTGTCATGGGTTGAGTATTATTTTT